GGCAATGGCCTGGGAGGCAGTAGATGACCTTGGCATTTTTGATGTCTAACCAAACTCTTAAGAGTTTCACAGTGCCTGCTTCAGCCACCTTCATGGCCATTGGAACCAAATGTCCTCATCTAGGGAAAGTCTTCACATCCTTGGGGTAGACATTCCCCCAACGCACTGCCAGATCTGAAGCCTGCCAGTCACTCTTAACTTGGCTTAGCCTGTTTGTGGCCATGGTACATGTTAGAGCTCCTTGGAGTCACAGGGGACAGCTGGGTGAAGGTGGATACCAAAGGTGGATGAGCAGCCGTGAAAAGGGCTGTCTTTTTTTTTTCTCCATGTATTAGCATTCCCAAAATCATGCCTGGCACACAGTAAGCACTTAATAAATACTTATTGACTTGATTTGTTTACTTTTAAAAAATTTCCAGCTATATTTGACTATCTAACCTCAAACAAGTCACTTAAATTCTCTACGATTTAGGTTTTCATGTTTAAAATGGGGACAGAGGATCAGCTTAAGTCTATCTATGTTTCTTCTCTAATCCTATGATGTACTTATTATTAGTAGTAATAGTACCCACTATTTTGCAGATAACAATCTGCCTAACATAGTTGTCACCAACAAAAATTAAGTTCATTCTCAAAAATAATAGTAAAAGAATACAGTATGAATGCTACATTATCCCCACAGAATATTAAAAGACCTCGAGGAAGGTCTCTAGTATATGGGAGATTCCCTGTAAGGACTTATGGAAGAACATGGAAAAGAATCTCATAGGGTAAGAAATGTCACCGACAGGTAGCAGTCTGCACCAAATGAAACCACATACCCGTTTAAGTACTAACATATAAATACTGACATATACCTCACTCAGGACATTTCAAATGAGATAACCTTTAAAAAAAATAAAAAGGTGGACCAGAAACATAAAGGTATAAGCCAAAGAGGAACCGAAAGAGGAGAAAGTATTGTAAAGCAAGTAATGAGATAACCATGACATATATGTGCAGAGGAAAAGAGGAGTATACTAGGAGATTTACCAATTGTGGTAACTAGATTTCAGAAAAGTCAAAGTGGAACAGAGAGGAAAAGTAGCCAGGTAGATACTGAGATGATGGTAGATGAGTGTACTTGGAGGGAAAATGGGAATATCAAGAAACTTACCAAAAGCAGTGACATAACAGAGTTGGTTGATGTAATCAAATACAGAGATAATCTACTTCTGGATTCTTGCACTTCTGACAAGTTTTTACAGCTTAAATGTGGCTGAGAATTACAGTGAACTCCCTACTATGACCATCTAACCAAGACAATAAAAGTAAATGACTCACTCATACATCCAAAAACTAGGAGAGCTACACTAAAAAATCCAGGAAAAAAACATATTACTTTTCATTTACTAACCAATAGCAAGAATTAACAAGGCAAAATAGTCCCAGCTGGGTTTATATACTGTTATTGTTTTGAAAAATAAACTACTTACTGACCCAAAGGCCATTATTTATAGTTTCTCTGTTTTGCTTGAAAAAATGTGTCCCTATTTTGTTAAAAACTTAACCATTGACCTACAAGTCAGAAAGTTATAAATAATACCACCATGCCATCAGTGGTCAGACAGTCATGACTTTAATCAGTAGAAAGAAAAGAAGTTAATTTGTAGGCTTCCATCTGCATTAAGAAGGAAGATGCCATAAGCCCACAGCTCTGCAGCAGATTGTTTTTCATTGGCACATGTGGCTTCTGATGTGTGAACTGGTTTAGAGGAACCATGCTAAAGTATTTTATGTCTACTTTGATCTACACAGAGAATTAAGGTTTTGTTAGACTTAACCTGATAGGAAGTTTTGGAAGTCATTCTTCTTGGCTTTCTGTATCGCTCTCCTTTTGCTCAAGAAAGACAAATTATTATGGTTTAATGATTTATATAAATTATAAAAGCTAGAGAAAGGAGGAGGGAAATCATCCCATACCACCTTGAAGCTAATATTCTTGGAACCTTTTACCTATCTACTCATAGCTTCTCTTTTAGGAACTTTATCTAACTGTAATCTTTTATATAGGTGAAATATTTATGAAACAGTTTTAAAAACAAAGATGTAGAGATTCTTTAAAAAATACCCATTTCAGTTCTCTTTTTGTCATCCCAGACAGCAGCATGTGAAAGTGTCATGTCTTTGCACAACTAGAAAGTTCCACAGTCACAGAAAATATCGAAAGTGGAATGACAAACAGTACAAGAAAATCCATTTGGGCACTGCCCTGGAGGCCAACTCAATTGGAAGAGCATCCCAGGAAGTCAAGCAGCACAATTCTGCCACCAAAAAGTGTTTAAGAGGGAGCTAATTAAGAACGGCAAAAAAAAAAAAAACCCCAACCCTAAAAACCCTGCCTTTGTTCTCAATGATGGCTGCTTGAACTTTACTGAGAAAAATGAGGCTTTGGTTGCTGGATTTGGTCTGAAAGCTCATACTGCTGGTGATAGTCCTGGGGTCCACTTTAAGGTTATAAAAGTGGCAAACATTTCCCCTTTGGTCTTGTACAAAGGCAAGACAGAAAGACTAAGATCACAAAAATTGTATAATGCCTTTGTTATAGTGAAAAATTTCCATGTAACCAAACAAAAATACCCACTTCATCTGTAGGCTCTCCTGTTCTCTAAGTATAAACATTGCTCTCACAAACAGCACCTAGTGAGATGAGTGAGAACCCCAAGAGGCAGAGTTTCTGGGTAATTAATAATCAATTTATTAATTAGGTTATCCAGAAATCAATAAATTGATGGTCAGTGGTTTCTCCTGGTAACCAAAGATACCAGAGGAGACTCTGAAACACCTTAAATTACTTCTGAAAGGGAACTCCCCTGACAAGTGAAAATCAACCTTGATCTGTGGACATTATCAAGGAGGAGGGCTGAAAGTCTTCAGTTCCCCTGCTGAGAAGATGGTTTGCTCATGAGACTCAGCCATCTCAAGCATCTGGGCAAGGGGGAGCTGTCTCTAATCCAGACCTCTCTAGCAAGTTTTCCCCTTCATGAGCTGAGCTGCCCTAAACTCTAATGGAACGCATCAAGGACAAGGGGTCCCTACTGCAGGCAAAGGCTCACCCAGACTGGATTCTGCTTATACTCTAAATAGAAATTAGGTCTCCCAGATGGGTAGGATTCTAGTCATCTAGTTAATGAACATGAGCCTTGAGGGCTGGGAGCAAATATCATCAGTCTGGAGGCTAACTGACCTTTTCAGGAGTTGAGTTTTAATAGAAATAAAAGGAAAAAGGTGAATTACAAATTAAATAATTAATAATAATAACTGATATAATAGTATAATATTAATCTCACTAGTGTGCTGGAGAGTCTACAAAAATGTTTGTTTGCGGTTGCAAAGCTAAGCTTAGAATATGTTCTCCAAAACTGAGATGTCCATCTATGTGCATTTAAGAATCAGTCTGACAAAATGATTCCTTTTAAAAATTTAAGTTTTTAAGTATACTATCAAATACATCTTACAAGGCTTCTGTATTACAAATAAAAGTTCTGAGTACCACAAATATTTTTTAAGTGGAAAAAAATCAATTTAAAGCACATTTAGTAAAAGAATTACAGACATAGAAAATTCAGTCAATTCAAACAGATAGAAAAGTAGCCAACACTACTTCAGGTAATGGCAAGTTTTGTTGATTAGCTGTTTCAGTAGTGTCCAACTCTTTGTGACCCCATTTGGAGTTTTCTTGGCAAAAACACTGGAATGGTTTGCCATTTCCTTCTTCAGTTCATTTTACAGATGAGGAAACTGGAGCAAAGAGGGTTAAGTGACTTGGCTAGGGTCACACAGTTATTACGTATCTGAGGCCAGCTTTGAACTCAGAAGGACAGTCTTCCTGACTCCAAGTCCAGCACTCTACCCACTGTGCCACCTACCTGCCCCATTATTAAGCTTATGTTAAGCTTATAAGGGTCAAAATAAAATTAGATTAAAGACATATTACAACCTATCAAGTAAGAGGGATACATTCTAGGAAGACCAGACATTAGCCTGACAACCTTTTCCCCCTAATATCTTCCTGTTAAAAATTAGAGTATTAGGACTAACAAGCACATCAAGAGGTCACCTCCTTAATTAACCTAGATCACATTTATCACCTAAGATGGCTGGTTGGAGGCAGCACAGCACAGCAGAAACAGGAGCTGAAGTTGGGAGTACTGAACTTGGAATCAAGGGATCTGAATGCAGATTCCAATGCCATTATTTATGGTCTGTGTGACCTGGGCAAGACCCTCAGCCTCTCTGGGAGTCAGTTTTCTTATCTATAAAATGAGGGAGCTGAATGAGGTGACCTCCTTCCAGTTTTAAATCTATGACTCTGTGATTCCTATTTTGAAAGACCTTTATGGATAGAGATTAAATATTCTTTCTGGGTAAGCCTGAAATCACCTAAATGGGAAAGGTTACAGATTGTAATAAATATATTTTAGGCAAAAGAGGGCAATGCAGATGTCTACACAAATAAAAATAGTGATAAAATACCAAAATTTTCCAGAGAAGTTATATACTATTATTCAAAAAAATTAACATGTGTTATCCTTATTCAAAAATTTTAATGTGCTAACAATATGAGCTAGGAGGCACAGTGGAGGGCAGCTAGGTGGCACAATGGATAGAGCACTGGGCTTGGAATCAAGAAGACTCACCTTCATGGGTTCAAATTTGGCCTCAGATGCTAGCTATGTGACCCCAAGTAAGTCACTTAACCTAGCCCTGTTTGCCTCAGTTTCCTCATCTGTAAAATGAACTGGAGAAGAAAATGGCAAACCATTCTAGTATCTTTGCCAAGAAAACTGCAAATGGGGTCATGAAGAGTTGGATATGACTGAAAATGACTGAACAACAACAAACTGAAACCATGAGTGTGGTAACAACAACAACAACAAAAAGAGCTAGAATCTATCTATAAAAATGCTCTGCTATTCTGTAGATGTCCCTTCAGAAATGACATTTATAGATTTACGTACCTATAACAAGAAGTTCCATATGGGCACTCAGGTCTATTGTCATCCTCATCTTGATTCATAACTTGTGCATCTTCGTAATCCCTATCACCAGGGTGGCTGAACTGCTGAAAATGGACAGGGTTCTTCCTATGAATTCAATAAATACCTTGTTAGAAACAAGAACTGGCAAAATTTGAAACATTTTTTATTCAAATGTTGGGCAACCCCAACCTCATAGGCAATTCATTTTTAAAAGAAGGTTCTATTTTATGCCACTAGGTCAATGCAGAATGCTGTAGATTATCACATTCGGGGGTCAAGAACATCAATCTAATTTTTACTGATACTTTATTTTTTTTTACCAAATTTATAGTCCTCATTAGACAAATGGCCTTATAAACATAAAAGTTTCAAATATAGTTAGTATTTCTGAACTTTTAGACTACTACTAAAGAGATTTAGACTACTAAAAGAGATTTCAATATGAAATCTCCCACTAATATCCCACTCTGATGCCTTATTGTGATACGGAGGTTGACACTAGGTTCTCAAAGACTATGTCAACAGAGCCCAATCTATGTCAGGTCCTAAACGGAAAAGATTTCAAGTACAGAATATTTAAAGTTTAGACATTAGTGATGGACTGTGTGTCATGAGAGAGAGAGAGAGACAATTTAGCTAAGCAGCAATTTATGAAGCCATCTACTAGGATTTGGATGGAATTGTGATTTGTATCACTGAAATCACTGGTAATTTCAAAGTTCTACTACACAAGACTTTAAGAGCCTGCCTTTTTTTGTGTAGATGTTAAATACAAGGTGTCCCAAAAGTCTTATTGCAGTTTTAAGCTTAAATAGCTTAAGCCAGCACTAAGACTTCTGGCATGCTTTATATGTTCTATCTTCTCACCAATCCTTCCCCGACAGTCTCCTCTAGGGCAGACACTTTGTCAATTTTATCTTTTTTATTTCTAGTGCCTGGCAGTTGATGATAATTTAATAAATATTTACTTAATGAAAAATGAAAGTCATCCATAACCATAAGAAACAGTACAATGAAAGCTAAGTTACTTTGGTTTGGTCAGTCATGAGAAGAAGGTATGGCAGTTCAAATTAAAAGACAAAATTTACGTTCTCATGTCTTTCTTTAAAACTGAATTCCACTGAAAATCTGGCAATAAGTATAAAAATAGCAAACTCACTGCATGACAATTTTTAAAGACTGTTTTTAAATAACCACTAAAAGAAAAAACCTATCAAAAGCAAAAAAAATAATATTCTGGTATTAATTCAAAACTATAAACATTTGCTGATGAAACTTAAGCACATAAGAGAATATTATAACATTTTAATGGTTTATATGTTTTATTTGTTGATTATATTAAGTATGGTGTTTGGATAAACTGAATACAGTATTCAAAAGGTAAAAGAAACGTACAACACATTTTTCCTGTTGTAAGAGGGAAAGGTTTTACTCTTTTTAAGTATGTGAATTTATGACAACAATGGATATTCAATACTTTTGGAATAAAATAGAATTTTATTTCTCAAAAGTGACAATTCAGAAACCAAATATCTGGATAATAATTATCTACTTGCAGTTAAATCTGAAAGTTAAAGGACAAGATGAGAAAATACAGGGTGTTTGCAGCTTCTATCTTGATTGACTGATTCTGTTCTAAAAGTTCTAAAAGTTCACTACTGAAATAAGAACATGGATATAACCAAAAGGAAATGTTTTTTACATGTATGAATTATTCAGAAAAAAATTTAAGCTGCAAATTTTGAAAAAGTCAGTTTAATCTCTTAGAATGAAGGATTATGTGAAAAGAGGGTATCTTAATTCATAGCAGAGAGAAGGGAATAAGCAATTGTATAGCATCTACTACATGCCAAACTGAGCTAAGCTTTTACAAATATTATCTCATTTGATGATACACATATATTTCACCAAACCTATTTACATCTGAACCTAGTTACTTTCCCCCAGAGGAATACAATGCATTCTAATAAGAATGTGATAATAACTGGGAAATACAAGTAAAGTAGATACAGATGATAAATGAGTAAAGCATTTATTAAGTCCTTACTATGTGCAAACCATTGTGCTCAGCTCTGGGAATACAAATAGAAGAGTATGGCAGACCCTGCTTTCAGGGAGTTTACCTTCTAACGGGGGAGGTAACACCTATGGAAGGTTTCAGGTATAAGTCAGATGGAAAGGTCCCATGGTCCTCAGGGTACAGCAACTAAGCAGATAACAACTCTTCTTTAATGACATTTCCACTGATAAAATAATATCAGTTTCTATTGCTGAATCATATGAGAGTGCCAAGGACTTTTGCAAGAACTTTCTTTTCTGGGTTTTCAGTAGCTCTGGCTGCAGTACCCACAGAAGCAGTTGCCAGGCTGATCTCCAGAAGGGTTGTCTCCCAAGATGATGGCTGCAAGGCCTAGGCTGGAAGGATTGCTATTCTCAAGGATATTGAGGTCAAGGTCTTGAGCTGTCCCTATCAAGGGATGTGAGGGGAGATGGTGGTCAAGGTAGCGATAGTAGTCTGACTTGGCAAAAGCAGCTGGTGATGTAGTGGATAGAGAGCTAGGCCTGGAATCATGAAGATCTGAGTTCAAACCTGGCCTCAGACACCTGTGCAATTCTGGGTAAGTCACTTAACTTCTATTTGTCTCAGATGCCTCAACTATAAAGAGGAGATATAATAGCATCCACCTTGCAGGGTTATTTTGAGGATCAAATGAAATAATATTTGTAAAAAGTATTTAACAAAGTGTCTGGTACACAGTAGGTGTTATATAAATGCTTATTTCCTTCTCCTTCTCTACAGGAATAAAAATAGGCCTTCATAAAAGTTGATGCTTCATCATGATATGGAGGTGATCCTGAATTCCTAAAGGCCATTGTTATGAAAGAACAAGTTCTAGCATATTCTTACATGACTGGTTTTAGCAGCATCCTACACGCCTTACCATAAGAATCTCCTTTTTTCTCTTTCCCATTTCCTATTCTCATACCTAGTGCCGTTGCTGACCCCTGCTGTAAAGAATGAAATGTACATGTGTAAAGAAATGACTACACGCTCCCAAATTGAGGAAGCCAAACTTCTTTAAAAAAAAAAAAGAAAAAGTTTTATCTTTTAAAAATTTCTTCCTTTGTTAAAAAGGTGGGAACAATTGGATTCAATTATCATTAAAGACCTTCTCAACTCTAAGAAATTATGACACACCATACATATTTTCCTGTTTATTCAGAAATAATGCTTTTGGAGAAAAGGGAACTGGAGTTAATATGTCTTAGAGAAAAATTTCTTGAATAGTCAGCATGCAACAGTGGAAATAGGATTGAACCAATATGTCACTCTGTATAACAAGATAAGCTCCAAATGGATACACACATTAAACAAAAAGGGTGACATCATAAACAAAATAGAAACAGAAGAAAGAAACTACCTTTCAGATCTGTGGCTAGGGGAAGAGTTCATGGACAAATGGGGGACAGAGAAGATGAGAAAAGATAAAATGAATAATTTTAATTGTATAAAATTTCAAATTTTTTTTGCATTATCAAAATCAGTGCAATTAAAAATTTATGATGGGACAGTTAACTAGGAAAAAATATTTGCAACAAGTTTCTCTGATAAAAGACTCATAATCAGGTTATATAAGGAATTAATTCAAATCTATAAGAACAAAAGTCATTCTTCAATAAATAAATGATCAAAGGATATGAACAGGCAGTTTTCAAAGGAAGAATACTTATCAGCAACAATATGAAAGAATGCTGTAAATCATTTTATTAGAGAAACATAAATTAAAGAAATTCTGAGCCTTCACCTCATAACAAAGATTAGCAATACTACCAACACAGCTATCACTTCTTAAAGTGTTGGGTTTTGCAGAACTTCTCACTATCTAGCTACTTAAATAATTTGCCCATATTTGGTGTTAATAACAGACTTAGCTCTAACAAATTCTAGCTTGTAAACAGTTTTAAAACTAGTTTTCAGTAAGTATAATATTCAAATATTCTTTCTGAAAAGTATTTACTGCCAAATGTTTGCAAACTAAAATCTTTTCAACAGTCAGTTCAGCACTGTGCAGTAAATAGAAGTTGGATGAGAAAGGGCAAATTATTTAAGTTCTTTGCAAGAGCTGAAGAGAAGTATTTGCCTGGAGATCTGTTTTGGTCATGTGGGCTTTGAACTGAAAATGGAGAAAGACAAAGCAAGTGATGTAACTACACCCGGCTAGCATGAATCTGGCTATTGTAGAGGACACTGGGCATAACCCAGACAAAAGAGCAAGGGGAAAGAAAGCAATGATGTAACTGTTTTCAAAGACAATAAACACAGTGAAATAAAAACCTTAAGAAAGAAGTTAAGGGACTGATGTCTGCAATGTGGTGCTAGAAGAGAATATACTAGGTTTTTCTTTTCTCTCTACAAAATCTCACCTGGTGACCTTAGCAACTCTCAAGAGTTTAATTATCAACTCTATGAGCTCCAGTTCATTACCACCTACTGCCTTGTGGGCATTTTGAATTGGATGTTCCATAAGCATCTCAACTCAATATCTCAACTCAAACAACTCATTATTTCCCAGACCCCCACACTCACTCCTCCCCCAAACTTCTCTATCAAAAGCACCACCATCCTGCCAGTCACCCAGGCTCCCAATCACATTGTCCCCTCTGAGTCCTCACTCATTCTCCAGACGTATTCAATCAGTAGCCAAATCTTGTCATTTAGATCTGCAGACCATCTCTCACACATGCCTCCCCTTCACGCACACAGCACCATCTTAATTCAGGCCCTCACTACCTCTCACTCAGGCTACTGAAAGGCCTCCTACTTGGTCTCCCTGCCACATCTCTCCCCATTTCAATCTATCCTCAGCACACACTGATTTTCCTAAAGTGTGGTTGTGACCATGTAATTCCCTATAATCCCCACTCAATAAATTCCAGTATACTGCACTTACCTCGAGGATCAAACAAATTCTTTTTTTTCTCCATTTAAAGCTCTTCACCATCTGGCCCCATCTTACCTTTCCAGACTACCACCTTCCCTTCATTCCCTCTACAATCCAGCTATACTACCTACTTGCTTGTCCTCACACACAGTCATCTTTATCTTTTTTTTCTTTTTTTTAATTAATTTACTTTTAAGTTTTCAACATTCACTTCCACAAGATTTTGAGTTCCAAATTTGTCCCCATATCGTCCCTCCCCCCACCCCAAAATGGCATGCATTCTGAATACTCCTAATCTACCTTCCCTTCTATCTCTCCCCCCCTTCTCTTATCCCCTTCCCCTTCAATTTTCCTGTAGGGCAGGATAGATTTCTATACCCCATTGCTTGTATATCTTATTTCCCAGTTGCATGTGAAAACAATCTTTTTTTAACTTTTGTTTTTAAAATTTTGGGTTCCAAATTTTCTCCCTTCCTCCTTCCCCACCTACCATCACTGAGAAGGCAAGCAACTCAATACAGGTTATACATATGTAGTCATGCAAAACACTTCCATAGTGGCATGTTGTAAAAAACTAAGTATATTTCCCTTCATCCTACCCTCTCCCCATTTATTCTATTGTCTCTTGACTTTGTCCCTCCTTAGAAGTGTTTGCCTCTGATTACCCCATCCCCCAATCTGCCCTCCCCTCTATCATCCTCCTGCTCTCTTGTCCCCTTCTCCCCCCCCCCATTTTCCTGTAGGGTAAGATACATTTCCATACCCAATTGAGTGTGTATGTTATTCTCCCCTTAAGCCAAATCCAATGAGAATAAGATTCACTCATTCCCTGTCACCTTCCCCCATTTCCCCTCCACTGTAAAAGCCTTTTCTTGTCTGTTTCACGTGTAATTTAGCCCATTCTACTTGTCCCTTTCTCCTTCTCCCAGTATAATCTTCTCTCACCCCTTAATTTTATTCTCCAGATATCACTCCTTCATCTTCAACTCACTCTGTGCCCTCTATTTATCTATCTATCTACATACACATACACATAATTTTTCCCCTGCAACTACCCTATTACTGACAAAGATCTCATGAGTTACAAATATCATCTTTCCATGTACAAATGTAAACAGTTCTGCTTTAGTAAGTCCCTTATGATTTCTCTTTCTCATCTATCTTTTCATGTTTCTCTTGAGTCTTATATCTGAAAGGCAAATTTTCTATTCAGCTCTGGTCTTTCCATCAAGAATGCTTGAAAGTCCTCTATTTCACTGAATGTCCATTTTTTATCCTGAAGGATTATACTCAGTTTTGCTGGGTAGGTGATTCTTGTTTGTAATCCTATTTCCTTTGCCCTTCGGGATATTATATTCCAAGCCCTGCAGTCCCTTAATGTAGAAGCTTCTAAATCTTGTGTTACCCTGATTGTGTTTCTACAATACTTGAATTGTTTCTTTCTGGCTTCTTGCAATGTTTTCTCCTTGACCTGGGAACTCAGGAATTTGGCTACAATATTCCTAGGAGTTTTCCTTTGAGGATCTCTTTTAGGAGGTGATCGGTGGATTTTTTCAATTTCTATTTTGCCCTCTGGTTCTAAAATAACAGGGCAGTTTTCCTCAATAATTTCTTGAAAGATGATATCTAGGCTCTTTTTTCGATCATGGCTTTCAGATAGTCTAATAATTTTTAAATTCTCTCTCCTGGATCTATTTTCTAGGTCAGTTGTTTTTCCAATGAAATATTTCACACAGTTTTCTATTTTTTTCATTATTTTGAATTTGTTTTACAGTGTCTTGATTTCTCATAAAGTCACTAGCTTCCAATTGCTCCATTCTAATTTTTAAGGAAGTATTTAATTCAGTAAGCTTTTGGACTTCCTTTTCCATTTGGCCAATTCTGCTTTTGAGGGCATTCTTCTCCTCATTGGTTTTTTGGACCTCTTTTGCCATTTGGGTTAGGCTATTTTTTAAGGTGTTATTTTCTTTAGTATTTTTTTGGGTCTCCTTTAGCAAGCTGTTGATTTGTTTTTCATGATTTTCTTGCATCACTCTCAGTTTTTCCTCTACTTCTTTTACTTGCTTCTCCAAATCCTTTTTGAGCTCTTCCATGGCCTGGGACCAATTCATATTTTCCTTGGAGGCTTTGGATGTAGGAGCTTTGGCTTCATTGTCTTCTTCTGGTTGTATGTTTTGATCTTTGTCATCAAAGTAAGATAATATAGTCTGACTCTTTTTGTGCTGCTTGCTCATGATTCTGGCCAATTACTTGAGTTACAAACTCTTTGTTAAGTAGGAGTCTGCTTCCAGCATGGAGAATGTACTATCCCAAGCTTTGGGGGTTTTGTGCAGCTGTTTTCAGAGATACTTTTAGGGACCTGAAAATTTTCAGTTCTTCCAAGGTGCTATGATCAAGGGTGAGGTGTTTACTCCTTTCCTGTCCTGTGCTCTGCTTTATGAGTGACCACAAGTACTCTTTTCTGTCTTGGAACTGTGAGGAGGATTCTCTCTCCACAGCTACTACAAGCTCCATCATGCCAGCACTCATCCTCGTCCCAGGACTACCACCCAGAACTATGACCCAGATCCAAGCACAGGCAAAGCAAGAGATTCCTGAACCAGCAGAGAGATCCCTGCAATCCCCCTCTGATCAGCCACTCGATTCCCCCTCAGTCTGTGGGCCGGAAGCTCAGGAGGCAGCCACTGCCTCAGGGCTGCACTCAGGGACTAGGGCTGGGACCCCACGATTCTCTCTCACCACAGACACAGACTTTTCCTACTGACCTTCTAAGTTGTCTTTGGCATTCATGGGTTGAGAAGTCTGGAAACCGCCACAGCTCCCCATGATTCAGTCCTCTGAGACCTGCTCCAGGTTTGCTGTGGCCTGCATGCCCACGCTGAACTGTGTTCCTCTCCCAGCCCAGCATGATATACCTTTCTGACCAACCATCCAGGTTGTCTTGTGGGTTCTGCTGCTTTAGAATTTGTTTAGAGCCATTTCTTCCAGGTATTTGGAGGGGTTTGGGGGAGAGGTCAAGCAAATCACTGCTTTTACTCTGCCATCTTGGCTCTGCCCCCACCCCAGACATCTCTATCTTATCTCCTTGCCTTTCTGGCTATCTCCTGAATTCTCTCCCTCCTAAACGCCATCTCTTGTTTCCTTCCAGACCAGATCAGGAACCACCTTCTACATGAGGTGCTTTTGTCTTTGTATCCTCAACACCTAGTGCAAAACCTGGCACATAGAAAGTGCAAGTTTGATTATTAAGCAAATTATTGAAGATTTATGAATGGAAATGGAAGCAGTAATCAGAAGGAACTCTAGGTTCACTAACAAGTTATAATAAATGAACCAAATTTCCTTTATAATGTCACAGAAATCAGCAAGACATTGTAGTCTTGTGTTTAATGTAAAAAAATGACAAAATGTAACAGATAAAATAAAAGACTAGAATTCAAATAAGGAGCTTTGTGATCTTTTCAATCACATTAGGTTGTAGCACCATAAAGTATACTAAGGGTGGGAATGGCAAAACAACACAGTAACATATTCAGCTGCCATAAAAGGTATTAAGCAGATCCAAGAGCATACTTAGAAAAATACAAAGAGCAATGACTAGGGATAAACAACAAACTAAATAGCAACACAGCACCTGCTGTGCATCAAACACCGTGCTAGGTACTAAAGACAGAAAGACAAAAATGAAACTCTCAAAGTGCTTACATACTACCAAGGAAGATAAGAAGTGCATAAACAAGTCTATGTAGAATGTATACAAAATAAATACAAAATAATTTTGGGAGTAAGATCATAAGGAGTTAATATGAGAGAAGATCAGGAAAGGCTTCATGTAGAAGGTGATAACTGAACTAAGTCTTGAAGGAAATGAGGGATTCAAAAGGCTGAGAGAAGGAGGGACTGGAATCTGGGCATAGGGAACGGCCAGAGCAAAGATGCAAAAAAGGGAGATGGAAAGTTGTGCGTGAGGAAGGAGGCCAGTTTGGCTGGACTGTAGCATTTAATAAAGCTAAAACAGTAGGTGGGGACCACGTGTTTATTCTAGATGCAACAGGCTCTAGGGCCACTGGAGTTTACTGGGTAGGGAAGAAAAATCCCTTTGGCAGCCTGAACACAGATTGGAAAGGTGTGAGACTTGAGGCAGGATATCATTTAAGAATCTACTATGGCATCAGTGCAGGCAAGAAACGATGAGGGGTTAGGCTAGGTTGGTTACCTTGTGAGTAAAAACAGTTATTTTTAAAGAAGTCTCTGTGTCTAAAAAGATCAGAGGCAACATATGCCTAGATTAGATTTAACTTTTTAATTTGTTAAATTTTATCATTAGGCTATTTTCAGTATTACCCTGGAATTTGGGTTATGTACTATATTAATAAGTATTATGGTCATGAACAAACATTCTGCCCGCCCCTGAATTCCAAAACCTTATAAAATTATTTTTTTTAAATTTCAATTACAGAGTTGACAATCCATCAAAGCAGAATAAAACCTTTTCAAGATTTTGGTTTTTCAAAACTGAACCACCACTTTATAAACCAATGTGTTAAATCACACCTTTTTCAAATTTCAGGGAACATGCTTTGTCCTCTAATATATCTGTATCCTTAGTGTAATGAGTCTGGTAATATACAGAATTCTATTGTATGCGATCCCTTTTTACCTGTAGCAACTTGCTCCATAAATGCAAGGTGTTTTCCTGGGATGATTTCCCCCAGAATCTTGTGGAACAGCTATGCTTTTAGTTGAACTCGACGCTTCAAGGTCAGAGCTCATTTCTAGGTCAAGTTCTGGGTCCTTATTCTGTAATATGTTGTCATGGTGACTCTTGGGATTCCCAGAATATTCCATGGGCACATCTTTTTCATATTCATCCATCTTATTTCCTTTGCTTCTAGGAGATGTTGTATGTTCACCCTCCTCATTATGGAGATTTTCATCGATTTGCTCTCCTGGGATTTCAGATCTTTCAGACTCGGCCTTAGTCATTTCTGTTTTATTTACACCTATTACAACAGATGGTCCACTCACTTCCTATAAAGACAAACAAAAAAAATTGAAACATATCCTCACTATAGGAAGCTTAAAATTACAGGATCCATTTTGTTGGCTCTCTACTGCATGCCTTACAAATGCATTTCCCAATCTTTAGAGAGATGCCTAGAACACCAGACAGTTAAGTGATTTGCCCAGGTCATATTGCTAGTACACTGCTTCTCCTGAACTAAAAAGATCAGATTTCAAAAGTTGAAATTTTAATTTTTTTCCTTGTGAATACCAAAATTGTCGATAATAGAAATGTACATTTTTTTTCACTACAGTTATTCTCTACTTCAAGAGATTTATGATCTCACTGACTTGGGTACATATTCCCTCCAATGGGGCAGATCAAAAACCATCCATGCTTTCTTATTCTGTTTGACTTTTGTCAGTCAATTAAAAGCACGTATTAAGCACTGACTATGTGTCAGACACTGTGCTAAGCTCTGGGAATACAAAGAGAGGCAGAAGACAGTCCTGGCATCAAGGGATTCAAACAACAGATGAAGAGAGATTCCAAAGTGGGGGTACCTCCTGACATAGTGCCTCCAGTCAAGCAGGCTGTCAATTATCCCCAGCTCTCACGACATGACTGACCCATCTCCTTTCCTGATCATCCTATCTGCTGCTTCTATTGCACAATTCTTCCTTGGTATCACGATCCAGTTTACGCTTGCTCTAGCTGTGTAAACACATCATTCTCCAGGTGTTCCACAAATTCACCGCATCAGAGATTGTGGTAGCATATGACTCTCGGCCATAGAGTGTCACTGTAGGAATGCTGGTACTAAAAAAATAAGCCCTTGTTTCAACAAGTTTTGGATCATAAGAAATACTGAATAATTTCCTAAAGGCAGTCTTTCTTGTTCTCTCATACTAAATTTTGGGTCAAATTCACTGCCTAGCTATAATGTATAACCAGTGTCTATAGCTAATGATAGACCTGACCTATCAGTTGCCCATTCAACTATATACCATAATTGAGACAACAGGCATTCTTCATCCACTTGGTTGTTCCTAGTGACTAGTTAGTTTGAACTCTTTTGAGTGATTAGGAGCCTAATTTAGTAGACTCTGTTATGTTTTGGAAGTGCAATTACCAGAGTCTCAACTATAAATAGAAGCATCCGAAGGCCCTCAGAATCTAGAATCTCTCTTCCTTTTGGACTCTGTGCTAGACCTCCGCAATAGTACAAACACCCGTGATAAGCATAACTCCCTACTTTATACCTGACTTAACATTAATAATCACTGAACAAAAACTTTTGTGTTCTTTAAAGGAATCTTTTATGATTTTTGACAAATAACTGGGAGACCTTACTGGAACAGAGCCTTTAGGGTAGAATTTTGCTCTACCAAGTCAAATACTTTTTTTCTGTAGTCAACAAACAAAAAGCAAAGTGGAATTTTGTACTATCTAGATATTTTAGTAAATATATGCCTGTAACAATGAAACTATAAACACTTCTGTTTCATATTGACATGACCATGCTATAATACACTCTTCCCATATAGAATACCTATAGAAGAAAAAGAAAAACTAAATTTTTTTTAAAAATTACCTTTGATGAACTGGTAGATTCTTCCTGATCAGTAACCCTGCACTTTTTCTTTAGGTCTTGTTCTGCTTCAATATTTTCTGAATTTTCTGAGGAAGACAACCTTTTTTGTCCTTTTGATGATGTTGGATATGTGCAGATTCTTCCTTTTGTTATTTCATTATCTTAAAAAATAAATTATATGCTATAAACTTCACTAGGTAACGTGATCACATTAAACTAATTTTTCATTTATATTAATGCCAACTTGTCCAATAATTACTTACAAAGTGGTTTTGAATTTCAATGTCTGATTTTTCTAGCAGAGAAGTCATAGGCAAATAGGATCACAGATTTAGAACAGAAAGTGATTTCAACCATCAATCCAACTCCTTCCTTTCACAAAGGTGGAAAGAGAAGCCTACAGAAGTGAATTCAAACTCGGGACCTGCAATCCTAGATCCAGATGGCATCATCCTACATCGTCCATATGCTAAATTAATGTTCTCTCATGCAATGTTAATAAATTTTATATATGTGTTTTATATATGTGTAGGCACTAAGGAGATGTCACTTTATGTAAATTATGACCTCCCCATAAATGACAGACAATTCAAAATTTTATCAATAAACTATGGCTTAATATGCTTGAAGCCATATCACAGGCAATATAAAGCCAAATGTGAATACAACTGAAATATTTTGAGGGACTGGCCCTCTCAGGGGTAAAAAATAGCAACTTTCTTTAAAAAGTCAAGTCAATAAGCATTAGCTATCTACTGCAGGCCTGCACAACCTGCGGCCCACAGGCCACTAGCGACATATCAAAAGATTTTGGGTGGCCAGCAAAAAATGTAGAGGAAAATATGCTCCACATTTTCTGTGGGCCGCCAAAAATTCTTTGGCATGCCTGCAAGTTGTAATTGGCATGTGGGTCGTAGGTGTGCAGGCCTGGTCTACTGTGTGCCAGGCACAGTGCTAACTGCTGGGGGAAACAGCGAAACTTTAATTGTTAACATGTACATTTTACCAAGCTGCTTCCCAGATACTTCCTAGCCAAAAGGTAAACTGGTTTTGCATTCAATAAATGATCCAATACACCTCTCTTATTTCAAAAAGCCCTGTTTTTGCTGAGGGTACTATCCTAACAATACAGGTCCCAATCTCTTGCATTTAGACATTTCCTTGTTATGGCAATAATAACCAGGCAGCCAATTCTGATTACAAACCTTTCCTAAAATATATAGGCTGGTTGTCATACAGTAGATAATACAGTCTTGTCAGCTGACTTTTCTTGCTTGGTAAGACCTACCCAACTGGAGTCCCACTAGCATGGCCCTCAAAAACTAAAAACTCAGGGTTACTTCCATATCATAATGAAGCACCAGAACAAGCCTTTAGTGAAAGAAAATGAAGTCATGAAAATATCATCTCATCCTACACAAATATCTCCAAGTAGGATGCTTGAAATATGCCTAAAAGTAAAAACAATTGTCATTTTAATGCATAATTCAAACTAGAAAACTTTAGTAGCTTAAGTACTAGTTAATAAGTATCACATTCCACTTAGCCATATAAATAATCTTTTTCTATGACAGAGTCACAATTCAGAACATGCTTTAATGCATTCTCCATTTATATTAGCATAATTATGCATAAATATAAATTTTAGTTTTTTGAGAGTACAGAATGTTTCATTTTTTTAACTTCTATGCTCCTCAGTGCAAAGCACAAAGTCTGCACCATAACTGGCACTTAATGACTGTTTGTTGACTGATTGATTGTTAATCATGAAAGTACTTTAATATAACTTAGGAATATATTTGTCTTTAAATAGAGGATCACATAGCTTCCTTTACAGAAGACTAAGGCACAGAAGTAACAAGAGCTGACTTTTGTATACCTGATTATATGAAGCATAATATATACATTATTTCATCTGACATTCAAAGTAATCTTGTGAGGTGTGTAGTGGTGTGGCAGCTTGCCAGTTAGCCTTGCAGTCTGGAAGACATGAGCCTGTGATACCTGGGATACCATAGCAGAAAAATCACTGGCTCTTGACAGTCAGAGGAGTTGGGTTCCAATTCTGCTTCTGATGCTTACTACCTGCACAACCTTGTATCAGACAATTTCCTTGTGCTTTAGTTTTCTAATCTGTAAAAATGAGGGGGTGAGAGGTGAGGTGGCCTCTGACATCTTCTCTTTCAGCTCTAGATCAATGATTCGTAGTATACTAGCTATGTGACTATAAGCGAGTCTCTTAATCTCTCCAAGACTCTGGCAACTTTATAAAACTAAGTTACAAATGAGCTGCTCGTCTGTACTGGGGGAAGGTAATTCTGCACAGGAGCTCCCTGCACGCTTTCTTCCTTTCTCGATTTAAAAAAATATGAGGAAACTGAATCTGATTCTTCCAATTGACTTGTCCGTGGTCACACAGCTACTAAGTGGTAAAGCTGGGGCTGGACTAACTGCTGTGAATATTATTTGTATTCTGTGATGATTCAGAGATTCTGCAAGACCCTGTGGAACATCAGATCATCCATATGAATATTGTTATTGTATAATATTCCCACTGTATACTGTACAAGGTGCTTTTATGGCCCAAATCTGTGCTGAACTACAAACAAAACCTGAAATTGGGGATTGCAGAGAAAACTCTTCTTACTTAAGCTGCAGCTGATACATGTATTCCTCATATATGGAATTCCATCTCCTATCTCTGTGACTTTGCCACATACACACACATGCCTGGAATGTACTCCCTTAACTCTATCTCATAAAATCCATCTCTTCCTTAATAATGAAATCCAAATATCACCTCCTTGAAGTCTTACACTGCTAATGCCCTCCCTCCTAAGCTACCTTGTATTTAACTAGCTTATATTTATTTATATGTATCCTCTTCATACTTATTCTGTATGTATGTGCGTATATATGTATATATACGTATGTGTATATATACACACACACGCACACACACACACACACATATATACACACACACGTATTCTTTGTATCTGTATCTCCAGCATCTTGCACACAGCCTGGTACACAGCAGGTATTTAATAAATGCTTAATAATTGATTATGAAGTCCATACTAGAAAATATTTTCCTGCCTTAAAAAAAAAACAAAAACATTTAACACAAGAAGGTTTTAGCTGGCCTAAATGCAGTCAGAAGAATCATATCATAACACTACAGACTTCTAAGAAAATGACAGACCTGAGCACAAACCATTTTTTTTCACTGCCATTTTGAAGGTTCTATCTTTTTCATTTAAGTACATTGTGTTCTACATTAATATGTGTTGAGAACATTATCAAAATGACCTCATTTTCCAAAGCATAGCACACAAAAAGGTGCTTCAAATTTAATCTGGAATCCTGACAAGTGGAAGATAATAATAGCTGATGGTAATTTGCGGGGAAATATGTTTTAACCAATTATGAAGAAAGTTATGTGAGCAATTTTGTTGAATAAATTCCACCAAAAAATCAATTGCTGGGCAGAAGACAGTCCATTTCAGTATAATTGTTTGTCAGGTTGTCTTAAATACTGGAAGTTTCTATTCAAGATCTACTCTGATTCTTGGATTCTCAAAGGCCATCCCAGCCAAACACAAACTCATGGTGGGAGGTCCTAACAAGCTGAAAGGGCTTCAAGTAGGAGCCTGGTATCAATGAGCATTTAGTAAGTACCTAACAGGTATGCTCGACACCAAGGACAAATGCAATGAAAGAAATCCCCACCCAACGCTCATTTTCTTACAAGGTAGATGAGTACATGTATAAATGTACACAGATTCAGAGATGGCCTGTGATTTCATTATTATGGTGGACCTGATAAGGAACTTCCTCTACCAGTGCAGATCTATGACTTCAAGTGTCAGAGCTGCCTAAACCACTGTCACGTTAAGTGACTTGTCTAGGGTTGCAGAGAGAGCAGGTGTCAGTCACAACTTGAACCCAGGTCTTCTGAGCTCAGAGGCTGGCTCTCTAGGCACTGTATCGGGGTATCAAACTTAAATAGCAATGGGATCCACTAAGCCATACATCAGGATCCTTGCAGCCACATACTGACTTGGAAAACCACAAATTTTTACTACCTATGTTCTATTGTATTTTTATTTATTTTGTTAAATATTTCCCAACTGCATTTTAATATGGCTCGGGTCCAAACGGGACTTCTGAGGCTGCAACATGGCCCATGGGTTGTGCTTTGCCCTATCTCATGAGGCCTCTCAAGTATATGTAGTGAAAAAATATTTTTAAAAAATATAAAGTTATTAACTATAAGGTAGTTTCCAGGGAAGGCACTAGCAGTTCGGTTATCAGGAAAGAGTGACTCAGAGGGATTAGACCACAAGGGCTTGCATTTAATGTATTTTTTACCTCCAGGCCATCACTTCAAGGTAGAGGGGAGGAGGTGGAGCTGAAAAGACCTCCTAGAGATGGAGGCCTTTGAACTTGAAAGAATCCAGGGATGTGAAGAGACAGAGGTGAGGAATGAATGGCATTTCAGAAACGGCACAGCAAAGGCTGTGTGCAGGTGGTACATATGTAGAGATCAGCATGTAGGCTAGTACAGCTGCATCATAAAGTACATGAAGGAAAGGAAAATTAGAGAAAACGGGAAATGTGGGAAGGGGCCAGGTACAGAAGAGCTCCAAGTGCCAAACATAGGTTTTTCCAACTGTAAATGTTCTTTTAAGTCTGCATTATACCTGAAACTCTGTTGTTCACGATCTAAGGTAAAGTTTATAAAAAGGTATGATATTTTTTCCCCAGTTAGTCACGTGGAAAAAATAGCAGCTGACTATAAAAAGAGTATTGTTCATTTTTGCTGTGAAAACAAAACAAAACCAAACAAAACAAAACACTAAACTAGGAGTCTGGAGACTATGTTCCAGGCCCCACATGTCTAGTAATTGTGTAAAAGTAATCTTGAACAAGCCTTTTAACTTCTCTGAGACTGTTTCTTCAACTGTAAAATAAAGCTTTGGACTAGATCATCTCTAAGGACCTTGAGAGCTCAAAAATTCTACAATTCTGTTATTACAGTAATAAAACAATGGGAATTCTGAATTGGTTAGACTGTTATTATAATGTTTCCATCTCTTACTAGGCTGAAATTTGCAAGGTCAACTCTATGAAGAACGAATATATTTCCTTGGCATATTATATCTCTAACCGAAGTAGCTCCCAGAAGAAGAGCAGTGATTACTCAGTAGTACAGGTCAACTCATTAGGCTTTGAATTTTTATTAGTATGACAAATTTAGTATCATAGATGTAATAGAAGAAATCCTTTGTTTCAAAAATAATCAGCTAAACACAAATGATAAAATATAAAACAATAACTTGTCTATTAACCTAGTCTTTGTGTGAACTTCTAAAATTCTTTTAATATTAGATAAAGATTAAAAATTATGATTTATAATTCATTGACTATTATAGCTAAATTCCTTCTGAAGAATTTATTCTATTAGTAGCAGAAAGATAAATTTACCTTCCTGGGCAAATGGTACCTCAAGGTTTTGAACATTTAGATCTCCCTGAACCATCCAAGATGGGAGGATTCGTTTCCTCTGGACAGAGTTTGGTTGCTCACTACTGTTGCCATATTTTGCAGGAAGAAGCTGAAAAAGTATTTATTTAATAAAATTAGAAGTTATGTGGCAGACAAAAGGACACGTGATTTTATCAAGGTGAGGAACCCAGCCAGAGTGGGACCTCACTTTGGCAACAGGATTTGGTGCAGGTCTTATTGACTCTGACTCCACCACTCTACCTCCTACATCACATCCATACTGCCTCTCTTAGTAATACTATTTGTAGATAACTTACCAATACAACTATACTTGTAAATTCAGAATTAGTTATTTTGTATAGAATCATCATTAAATAATCCATTATTAACTATTCAGGGAAGTTGCTAAATGCTTTGAAAGAACTCACCACCTTTATTCACCTTTGAAATGTTTGACATTTCTTAGATTAGCTTGCAAAACAGGTCAAACACAGAAACCCATGTTGCCTTGCTTATATCATACCTACTTCTATTTTTCTCCTGTCCTATCAAAAGAACTTCTAAAAATCAGATCAAATCTTAAAAAGTTCTCACCAAATTATTCTGGGGTATAGTGACTGGCATGGCTACTTCTGTTGTTTCCTCCAGCTCTGAGCACTGGCTTGAATTAATGTGTTTGGTACAATGTGACGGTGGTTCCACTGGAGAACTAGTACATTCAATAGTAACAGGAAAGCTATTTACAGGGGATGTGGGTGATTGATTGAATAGATCATCTTCATCAAGCATCTGACTATTTCTATAAAGTAAAAATTTATTTGTTAGTGAATTATGAGCTAGGAAACTTATGCCATTATAAAAAAATTTAACGACTACACTATAAACAGGGTTTTTCTAGGATCAATTGGCAGGCATTATGAATCATTCTCTCAAACTTAATCATTCAAAAGTCAAGTTTACTGTGTCGTATTAAGCACCTTTTTGATAATATTTAGAAAACTCTGCAAACATTAAAACACTACATAAATGTTGTTGCTGCTTCGTGCTGGGGATACAAAGACAAGAACAGTCCCTGCCTTAAGGAGCTTACATTCTATAGGGAGAAAACAGTATATAGACAAAAAAGTACATATAAATAGATTCAAACCAGATACAAAATAATTTAAAGGGTATGGCATAGCACATGAGGGAAGGGGTGGTTGTAACGGAAAGTATTCCTGTAAGAGATGACACATGAGCAAAGCCTTGAAGAAAGTGAAAAATTCTAAGAAGGAAAAGATAGAAGTACAATGATAGACAGGCTGTACAATGGCACAGAGACAAGAAATGGAGTGCTGCATAGGGAACAAGTAGACCAGTCAGCTGTAACAGAGTATATCAAAGAGCTATCTATGTGCAATAATCCCAGAAGGGTAGTAAGGAACTAGATTATGAAGGTCTTTAAACAGTCTGAGGAGTGTGTACTTTTAGAGACAGTTTAATATAACTCCTTGAACAGGGACAGAACAGGGTCAGCGTTGTGCTATAGGATTATCAATCTAGCAGCTCTGAAGGGAAGAGATTTGTGGGGCAGGGGGGGAAGCAGAGGAAAGAGAGAGTCGGGAAGAGACAGAGACAGAGAGAAAGAGAGGAGGAAGAAGGGGTAAAGGAGGAAGGGAGGGAGAAGATAAGAGACAAAGAGGAAGAAAAGGAGGGACAGAGAGATAGAAAAGAGGAGGAAGAGGGAGAGGAAATTTGGATCCTGATGGAGCTTTTTATTATATAGTAATAAGTAAGATTCTGGTAAAACAAAACTCTAAAAATCATCATAATGTCTTCACAAAAAAATTTAATGGAATTTTAACAATCTAAACATTTGATTTCTATTAACTATTTCACTAAGAAAGTGAGAAACAATTTGAAGCTAAAATTTTGGGAGTAATATGGGGAGAGGAAGCACCAATTTAATATTAATCAGGAGTAAATGCAAAACATTCTTGAAATTATAAATCAATGGTAAAAAGGATTTCATTTATGAAAATGTATTTTCATACAATTTTCAAGAACATCTCTGAAGTTAATCAAGGCACAAATATGAGAAATCCAGGATTGAGAAATAGAGAAATGCAGTAAGTTGTATTTTGAAGGACAGCTAACATAGAGTTAACAAGCCAATAAAATTAAATAGTGCAATTAAAAATCAAAGCAGGAAATATAACCGAGAGATAAAGGAGAAATAAAATTTAGAGAAAAGACAAATATGAAAAAGTATAGAAAATTAAGAAGAGGAATGGTTTTATTATTTTAAAAGAATAGAAATTTGGTAAGCTATTTTTATCATAAGTATGAATTCAATATTCCCACTAATTTTCTGAATCATATTCGCAATAATACAGGGCTCCCTGCAGGCATATGGAGAGTTCATACTTGTTTAAGAATAAGAGAACAACTTTTTTTCCCCAAAATCACTCCAAGCAAAGACTTAAAAATTCATTTCAAATAGAACACTTAAAAATTCTTTATGACATGGAACTATGTACATTACTTAACAAAAAAAAAGTCATATAACTTCAACTACTCTTTTAGAAGGAATTTATTTCACTATTATCCTAAATTGAAGAGACCCAGCAAAAAGATGCAGAGAAAATAATAAATCCTCTAAATAAGGAAAATAAAATAAGCAACTTAAGTTTCATTTAATCTGGCTTGCAGATAAACATGCAAAAATGACTGGTCTAATATATTTGTGAAGTTTACCACTCCTTTCTACACTCTTTCTATCATAGCAACAAAACACTAGATATTATAACAGTCTGACAGAAAATACAGCACTAGTACTTTGAGTCTTGTTTTCAGTTTTAATGAAAATATTTACTTTTCATAGACTTCCAGTCCCAATACTATTCCCTCAAACTCTGGACTTATGTTAATTTGTACAGATGTACTAAAGACTACCAAGTGCAGCATAATTTTTAAATTAACAGATTTTGAATAACTTTAGTCAATGAAGATGCACAAATTGGTTTTATTGGGAGGCCCAATATTTTCTTGACTTATCCTCAAGCACTTTTCAGAACATAATTTTTGGAGTTCAATTTATGTAGGGCAAAGAAGTGATTCTCAACTTTTCATGTTAGCAGCTGAGCCATTTGTTTAGAAAGAGTAACCCATACTATGCCTAAAGGGCTATAAAACTGTGCATGCCCTTTGATCCAGCAATACCACTTCTAAGGCTGTATCCCAAAGAGATAAGAAAAATGGGAAAAGGGCCCACATGTACAAAAATATTTATAGCAGCATTTTTTGTGGGGGCAAAGAACTGGAAATTGAGAGGATGTCCATCAATTGGGGAATGGCTGAACAAGTTGTGGTATATAAATGTAATGGAATGCTATTGTTCTATAAAAAATGGTGAAGAGGTAGACTTCAGAAAAACCTGGAAAGACTTGAATGAACTGATGCTGAGTGAAGTGAGCAGAACCAGGAGAACACTGTACACAGAAACAGCAACATTGTATGATGACCAACTTTGATAGACTTAGCTCTTCTCAGCAATGGAATGATGTAGACAACTCCAAAAGTCTCCTGATGGAAAATGCTATCCACATCCAGAGAAAGGACTATGAAGTCTGAATGCAGATCAAAGCATATTATTTTCTCTTTCTTTTGTTTTTTTGTTTTTCCTTTTTCATGGTTTTTCCCTTTTCTCATTCTTCTTTCACAACATGGCTAAGGTGGAAATATGTTTAATATGATCATACATGTATATCCTATATCAGACTGCATGCCATCTTGGGTAGAGAGAATGGGAAGGAGGAGGGAAATTTTAGAATTCAAAATCTTATAAAAGGGAATATTAAAAACTAAAAATAAATATTAAAAAAATACTCCAAAAAAACAAGAAGAAAGAAATAGTAAGCCATTCCAGTGTCGGCTATGAAAATATACTCAGTTCAAAAAACTGTAGGAAAGCTCATACTTTTTAAAAGGTAAGATATGCTGTCCCTTAGAGAAGAGTGCCGGTTTTAAAAACGAATATACAAACTGAGTAATAGTAACTTCACTTCACTTAACTGAAATATTAAAATCATTCTCCATTTCTCAGAAGTAGAACTAAGAGAAATTGGTAGAAATTGTAGAGAAATTTGAGGAGGGGGGGACTTCCTAATAATTAAAATCATTTTTAAATGGTAAAGTCTGCCTGGGGATGCAGAGGTTTCCTCACCAGCAATCTTGCAAGCGAAAGGCAGATGACCACTAACTGAGGATGTGATTTTTAATCAGTAGCAAAGATGGTCATCATGGTCCTTTACAACTGGAATTATGTGATTCTTTTCTGTTGCAGGAATTTCTCAGAATACACAGGGATATGAGTTTTAAATTACAGTGAATATCTGATAATCATTAGTTTCTTACTTCCTCAGCATTCCTATTCTATTATTTTTAGGGGAAGAGATCAAAGACATACTTTCATATGCCGCAGTTGTGCAAAGATAGAGAATAGCTATAAACTTTAAAGGCAAAGTACAAAGAAGGGAAATATTTGTTCCACTGAAGTCAATTCAATTTTTTGCTCTTGGCTTCACACTTGGCTCTGTTTAACGAAAAATAAATCTATTCTTACAGAGGATGGTAAGCACAAATCACAGATAAGCTTGATCACTTTTTAGGCATAACAATTATCCATGAAGTCAAAGGTTTTCTAAAACACAATCTCTAAAAATCACTCGGCTACTTGATTTCTTGTGTAGTTTGGTCTTAGAATGGTTTCTGGTTAGGTATTTATGGGCTTAACATCTATAAAGGAGAAACTGTATGGCAAATAGCATTCTTTACTATCATCAAATCAGAAGACCTTACCGTAAAGTGCATTCCACTTCAGAATGTGTAGAGAAAACATGGAAAATGTATTTGTCAACTAATAAGGAAAAACTATCTCCAGGATTCAACCGATGCCATTTATTTGTCTCCAATGGCAATAGCTGGTTCTTTTCAGAAGACTGATAAAAACAAGGATTTATATGGATCTGTCAAACAGAAAAATAACAATAAAGAATATATGCTATAATTTCCTTAGAACCAATCATCATTTCTTAAAAATGTAACAAAATAAAACTATATTCAAAAGATAAAACATTCAAGCAGTATATAATTTAGGTATAAAGTTGACCCTAAATATTTTCAAATATAACCACACTGACCACATCATTATGTATAACCATACAGAGGGTCATATCTTACATGATTCTTTGTGATGCCATTTGGAGTGTTCTTGTCAAAGATAATGGAGTGCTTTGCCATTATATACTTGCCCACAAAAAGAGAGAGAGAGAAATTTCTACTGTTCCCCCATAAAAGTGGCAATGCAAAGGAAGAGCAGGCTCACTAGGAAGCTTAGGTTGGTTCACACAAAAATTCATACTCACTTGTCCCTTTTCACCCAAAAAAGACATACAACTGAATATAGTCAACAGGAAAATACAATAAGTAAATTTACGACCTTATAAACATTTAACACAAAAACTAATTCCAGAAAAATTCTAAATCTAAAAATCTTATCATTTAAGAACAACTTCTCTACTATACCCTCTGTCTCAAAAATTTCAAGTAAAATTAAAGAATCAAGAAAAGGGTGATTAGCTGAGCCAACGTCCAATGCTTTACAGCCTTTGAGCTCAGTTTGAATTGGGTCTTTATGAAATAACTTTTTTAAAGTAAATTCCAATAATATGATCACATTTATATTTTAAAATGCAAATATAAAAATATGTTACAAAGCTAACTAAGTGATTTGCAGGTTATGGAATGACTAGTTAGACTTGGTGTTCCTTATTACTCTATAATTCTATATCTACCACTTTGTATTTTCTATGCCACTGTTTTCCTCTCTTAGTATACATGAAAGTTGAGCAGAAAGCTTACAGACCTATTAGAAGTCATTTTATATGCCAACATGTTAAAGGCTTGAAATTGGTTATTCTTTTTTCAATTTTTTATTCTTAGTCTAACAAATTGCAAATATTTCCATAAACAATGTAGAACAAAAAAAATTGTACATAAAGGTATGAATCTCTACTACAAGCTGCTTAATTTTTAAAATATATATTAAATACATTAAGTATATAATAAATTCAATACATTATAATAAATCCAATATATCAATTTCAAAACTGACCCACTGGTCTGTTGTTTTTTATTAACGATTCTTCTACTATGTTCATTTTTGTAGTACTTCAATAGCATTTAATTGATAGTTTTCTTTTCTATTTTTTTCACTCTGGTAACTCTAGACTTGCTGTCCCCCTGAACTCCTCCATCAAAATGAAAGAAGAGAAAACAAAACCCTTGTATCAAATATGCACATTCAAGCTAAACAAATCCCCACTGGCTGTGTCTGAAAACGTTCCATTTTCCACTTTGAGCTCATCACCTTTCTGAAAGGAGGTGGGCATTTTGCTTCATCATCAGTCCTGTGGAATTGTAGTTGGTCATTGTATTGAGCAGTCCTTAGTGGTTAACAGTTGTTTTTCTCTACAATGTTACCGTCACTTTATAAATTGTTCTCTGGCTTCAAGCTTACTTCACTATGAATAAGTTCATGCAAGTCTTCCCAAACTTATCTGAAACTATCACTTTTGTCATTTCTTACCATAAAATAATATTCTAGTGCATTCATATATCACAATTTGTTCAGCCACTCTCCAGCTGATGGGGAACCAGTTCAAAAAGAACTGTTAAATACCTATGCATATGGGGCTTTTTCTTCATTTGACTTCTTTGGGATAAAAATCTAATAGTGGGTCAAAGGGTATGCACAGATTAGTACCTTTTAAGTATAGTTCCAAATTTCTTTCCAAAATGGCTGGGCTAATTCACAGCTCGAACAGTGTATTAGTGTGCCCATTTTCCTACAGCCCCACCGATAATTATCATTTCCTTTTTTGCTATCTTTGACAACCTGATCAGTGTGAAATGGAACCTCAGAGTTCTTTTAATTTGTATCTCTCTAATTATTAATGATTTAGAGCATGTTTTCATGTTTATTGTCAGTTTGGATTTATTTAAGAAATGCCTATGATAAAGAGGATCAAGGAAGCTTAAAAAAATCAATTCGATAAAAATAAAAAGTTTTTGCACAAACAAAACTAATGCAGTTCAAATTAGGTAACTGAGGGGAAAAAACTCTGCAACAAGTTTCTCTGATAAAGGTCTCATATGCAAGATATATAAGGAGCTGATTCAAATATATAAGAACAAGAGCCATTCCCAATAAATAAATGGTCAAAGGATATGAACAGGCAGTTCCCAAAGGAAGAAGGTGTTAACAATTGCATTTAACAAAAAAAAAAAAAAAAAGACAGAAGGGAATTCCTGGTGAACAGACTCAATTTTTTGTTGGTGAAGTCTGAGATGAAGTCTTCAGCACAGAGGGTGTAGGGAGTACAGTAGGAGGTTTGTGAAGGGACAAAAAGATCTGTAACAAGTGGTGTGGTGTGGTAAAGTAGAAATAAATCAGGGTAAAATATTAGGATTACTTTGCTATAGTAAAGGCCCAATTAAGATTAGCTAGAACAAATTTAGAGTCAACCGAATCAACATGGTTTCATTATTTTCTCCAGTTCTGTTCAGCAGCAAGTAAGGATAAGTGAAAGAGATGGATGGTGAGAATAATCTAGGGTTATGGTTTGGCAAGGCATGATCATCAACAGGATAAGGGAGAAAGAGATTCAGAAGTGGAGGACAGTTTCGAGATAAACTAATGTATCAAGTAATTAATACTGAGAAAGAAGGAGAGTATAGACAGGGCAGGAACTGTTAAGGACTGTTAAGGGGTCCCCTGAACTTGTCTTTTTGAGTTGCCATATTTTCTAGAAACACTGGACCCCACAGCATGCAGGAGGCCCTGAATGTGTCAAAGATGAAGCCCTTCCCAGCTGACAAAATTTGGTGTTTGCATCCTAAACTGGACTGGTTGTGTCTTTGGGAATCAAGAAAGGCACCAGTCAGTCTTCACTAGACTGTGAAACTGTGCAGCTGGGACCCTTGTGGATAAGGAGGCCATCATATCTTCATGGTTCAGCAGTTCCCAAGGGGAAAAAATGTGGCTTTTGCCAAGGTGACAAAAAAAATACTTCAAGCAACCAGAAAAAAACCATTCAAATATCACTGAGCCACAGTCAGTATATATAAGACTTAGCAACTTCCACGTTAAAGAGGTGGAAGGCTTGGAATATGATATTCCAAAAGGCAAAGGAGTTAGGATTACAACCAATAATAACTTACTCAGCAAAACAGAGTATAATCCTTCAGGGGAGGAAATGGATGTTTAATGAAGTAGAGGAATTTCAAGCATTCCTGATGAAAAGACAGAGTTGAATTAAGAATATGACATTCAAATAGAAGACTCAAGAAATGCATAAAAAGGCAAACATGAAAGAAATCATAAAAGAATCGATAAAGTTAAACTGTTTACATTTCTATATGGGAACATGATACATGGTTAACTCCTAAGAATTTTATCATTATTAGGGGAGTTAAAAGGTGCGTACATAGACAGAGGACATAGGTGTCAATAGATTACACTAGAATGATCTCCAAAAAATTGAAGGGGTGAGAAAGGGGAAGGGAGAGGTAGAATGGGGAAAATTTTCTCACATAAAAGAAGCATGCAAGGAAGACCTTTTACATTGAAGGGGAAAATGGAGGTGGGGTGGAGGGCAATACTTGAACTTCACTCTCATTGGAATTGGTTCAAAGAAAGAAGACTATCTATACATACTCAGTTGCGTTTAGAATTGTAACTTACCCAATAAGGACACAGAAGGAAAGGGGATAAGAAAAAAGAAAAGGATGCTAAAAGGGAGAATAAATTAAGGAAGGCAGTGGTTAGAAGCAAAATAGACTTTTAAGGAGGGACAGGATAAAAAGGGAGTAAGAAACAGAAGAAAATGGGATGGAGGGAAATACACAGTTAGTAATCATAACTACGAATATAAATGGGATGAGTTCACCCACAAAATGGAAGCAGATAGCAGAAATGGATTAGAAACCAGAATCCAACAGTATGTTTTTACAAGAGGCACATCTGAAATAGAAACACACACACAGAGTTAAAATAAAGGGCTAGAGCAGAATCAAATATGCTTCGGCTAAAGTAAAAATGGCAGGAGTAGTAATCATGATCTCAGACAAAGAAAAAGCAAAAATCATTGTTGTTTAGTTGTGTTCAACTCTTCATGACCCCATGGACCATAGCACACTAGGCCCTACTATCCTCCACTCTCTCTCCAAGTCTGTCAAAGTTCATGTTTGTTGTTTGTATGATACCTCTTTATCTCAACTTCTGCCATCCCCGTTTCCCTTTGCCTTAAATCTTTCCCAACCTCAAGATCTTTTCCAATGAGCCCCATATTCTTATTATGAAACCAAAGTATTTAAGCTTCATATTTAGTATTTGACCTTCCAGTAAATAGCCTGAATTAATTTCTTTATTGTCTGATTTGATCTCCTTGCTGTCCAAAGGACTCTCAAAAGTCTTCTCAACACCACAACTCAAAGGTATCGATTAGTGGTATTCAGCTTTCCTTCTAGTTCAATTCCCACAACCATACATTGCTACTGGAAAAAACCATACTTTTGATTATATGAACATTGGTCAGCAAGGTGATGTCTCTGCTTTTTAATATTCTATCCAGATTTGCCATAGTTTTCTTTCCAAGGAGTATCTTTTAATTTCTTGACTGCATTCACTGTCTACAGTGATCTTTGAGTCCAAGAATATAAAATCTGACACTGCTTCCATTTTTTCTCCCTCCATTTGCCAGGAAGTAATGGAACCAGTTACCAAGATCTTAGTTTTTTTATGCTGAGCTTCAAGCCAGCTTTTACACTCTCCTCTTTCACCCTCATCAAGAGGCTTCTTAATTCCTACATATCTACATATCTAAGATTGTTTCTGTTTCTCCCAGCAACCTTAATTCTGGCTTTTGATTCATCCAGCCTGGCATTTCACATGATATACTCTACATATAAGTGAAATAAATAAGGCAACAATATACAGTTTTGTTGTACTCCTTTTCCAATCTTACACCAATCAGTTGTTCCATGTTTGGTTCTAACTGTGGCTTCTTCGCCCTCATACAGGTTCCTCAGGAGACAAGTAAGATGATCTGGTACTCCCATCTCTTTCAGGACTCACCACATTTTGCTGTGATCCACACAGTCAAAGGCTTTAGTGTAATGAATGAAGCAGAAGCAGATGTTTTTCTAGAACTCCCTTGCTCTCTCCAAAATCCAGCAAACGTTGGCAATTTGGTCTCTAATTTCTCTGCTAATTCAAAAATCAGCCAGCTCTTCTGGTAATTCTCGGTTCACATATTGTAGAAGCCTCACTTGCAGAATCTTAAGCATAATCTCACTGGTATGTGAAATGAACACAACTGCCCAACAGTAATATTGACAATCAACATCTTTTAAGTAAGTTTCTCTGATTAAGGTCTCACTTCTCAAATACATACTGAGTATAAAACAGAGTCAAACTTATAAAAATAAAAGCCACTCCCCAATTGAAAATGGTCAAAAGATGGAAACAAGAAGTTTTCAGAAGAAATCAAAGCTACCAATAGCCATATTAAAAAATGTTCTAAATCACTACTGATTAGAGAAATGCAAATTAAAACAACTCTGTGGTACCACCTCCCACCTATGGGAAATGACAAATGCTGGAATGAATGAGGAGAAAACAGGTACACTAATGAACTGCTGGTGGAGTAGTGAAATGATCCAACCATTTTAGATAACAATTTGGAACTATGTCCAAGGGGCTACAAAACTGCATACTCTTTGACTCAGCAACACCACTACAAAGAAATCAAAGAAAAAAGGAAAAGGACTTCTATATACAAAAATATTTATAGCAGCTCTTTTTGCAGTGGCAAAGAATTGGAAATTCAGGGGATGTTCATAAATTGGGGAGTAACTAAACAAGTTGTGGCATGCGATTGTGATGGAAAACTATTTTGCTGTAGAAAATAACAAGTGAGGGGGTGATATCAGAAACACATGGCAAGACCTATATGAACTGATGCAAAGTGAAGTAAGAAGAATTGGGAGATCGTTGTGCACAGTAATAGCAATGTTGTGATAATGATCAACTATGAAAGATTTGGCTGCTATGATCAATACAATTCAATTCAACTCAACTCCATGAACATTTATTATGTGCTACTATGTACAAAATAGTGTATAAAGTATTGAGGATACAAAGATGAAAAATGATGCTAACAAGATACTAACCAAGGTAAGTACTATAAAACAGACATTTCTGGCTGTTAGACATTAAATTCTAATGAGAGAGGCATTTAAAAATGACTCAATAAAACAATCTCTGGAAATCTTTACTAAAACCAATAGAAAACCAAAAGAGAACAAAAAGAACACAGTGATTCAGAGAGAGCAAAAAAATGAAGGCCTATAAACAAGATTCCACTAAGCTTTGTATTAGTGCCCTTCTTTATACCTGATGTTTAATGTCATATCATACTGCCAATCAAGAAAGAACACGGACTTATACACGCATTTCTTTCATTCACATAATTCATTTGGAATACAGAAGAGAATGACAACATCACAGAGTCTCTGAAATCACAGTCTGGGAAGTCTGTCTCATTCAGAAATACTATAGAGCAAAAGTATTTTTAAGTCCTAGAACTCAGCAGAAGTTCTTAAATTTCCTTTAAAACCCTAAGCTGAGTAGTGGCTAAATTTTGTAGTTTTTTGAAGCTAAACTAGGATATGGGCAGGTTTTTGTTTTCTTTTGTTTTGCTTTGTAAAGAATAACTACAGCATATAGTAGCTACATTATTCTCCCGAAGACTATTACATACTATTATGTTTTTCCTTACAAGATTTCATTTAAAATAGGGTTAACCTAGGTAATAATATAAATTAATATTAGTACCAACCAATCTTATGTATGACAGCACTGCTTGGGAAAGAAATAGGTAACTTGTACCAACATCTCCTAACTATATATTAGCACTGCATTTCTAGCTTTACTTCTTTATTTTCCATTAGCATGCAAAATCAGCTTTCCAGACTCAGAAGGTAAGAAAAAAATTAAGTCATTAATAGAAGAGGAATTATTAACAGATTTACCGGTTTGATTCGAAGTTGATCACCTACCACCTCCAGGATGGCATGTTTTCTTGATATTTTTTTGTCTGTTATCTATAAAAAGAAATTTAAAGAATATGATCATCTCAATGCATGTTTAAATAAAGCAAGAAATAAAATGTGAGATGAATTAAAACTACAAAGGTACAGTTAGTTTATATTTAAGCCAACTATCAAAATTTGCAAGGCCCACAGAATACTAGATCTAAATGAATTCAAACAGCCATTAAGAATTGAAACAAAAATTCAAAATGCTCTTTGTAAGACTAGAACTGTACTTCAGACTACTTATGCCCATGTTCTCAAATGTACCACCCTCATAATATCACAAATGTGAACAACGTAAGTTAGCATTTTGGGGGTTCTACTTAAAAGCCTATTCTAAATAGTGGTGTAATTTTTCCAAATACAATCATTTTGAGAGCACTTCCTCCTCCTTCCCACTCAGCAGAGGACCTTGCCTCCTATTTTACTGAAAACAAAGGCCTTGAGCTTTCCTTTCTGGTTTACTACTAACCTCAAAATCCCTATTCATCATCCCCCACAATCTCTCCTCCAATGTTCCAGGTTCTGATGAGGAGATGGGCCTTCTCTTCACCAATGCCAACTCCTCCAATTATGCTATTAATCTTATATCCTCCATTAATCTCCTCTCTTAATCTCTCCTTTTCTTTCATCTTCAGTCTCTCCTTATTCACTAGCTCCTTCCCTCCTACCTCATATCCAAGTCTTTTCCATCCTTAAATCTTCATCCTTCACCTGATTTTGGCATTTCCTCAACTTACTACAAATGCTTCTCCTCCAAGCTTCCCCTTAATTAAAACCTTGCCTCACACCATTTTCCTTCAATACTCTTCAATGGAAATTGTTTCTACTCCCTAAGTCCTACAAACTTTCTCTTCACTTTAATCAAAATCTCCAAACCTTTCACATTTATTAAGCATCTACTATGTGTCAGGAACTGTTCTAAGCACTGAAAAAAAAAAAAGAAAGGCAAAAACAGTCCCAGCCCTGAAGGAGCTTACAATTTAGTAAGGAAAGACACCATACAAAGTGAAGCAGAACAGGAGTCGAGGGAGGGGAGAGATGGGTAGGTTCAGGACAGACAGGGAAGGTGAGGAGAAGAAGGTGAAGTCCAGAGTAATGTAGCTGGGGAAATGAAGGGCCTGTGGTAAGCACTGGGTCACAAAGAAAGGCAAAAAAGAGTCCTAGTTCTCAAGGAAATCACAGTCGAAAGGAGGAAGCAACATGCAGACAATTTTTTACGAACAAGATACATACACAAGATAAATTAAATAATCAAGGGAGGGGCAGCACTACCCTGGATGGGGATCATGGCTGTCCCTGTAAAAGGTAGTCCCTCAGATATCCAGTGTGCTGTGACTTGATTCTGAAGAAAAAAATATTTCTTATAAAATACACAGCCAATTTGTTTAAGTTGACAGAAAGAAGATTCTTAGTGTAAAAATACAAGTTCTACCTGGATGTCTTGTCTACTTGCCATTTCACAGAATTTCATAGTTCAAAGGACCTCAGAGGACATCTTGCTCATACCTGAACATTCTATCATTCTCCCCCTACGGCTTTTCTTCTCCAGGCTAAAAATTCCAAATTCCTTTAATCCATTCCCATATAGCATAAACTCAAGGCCTTTCACCACCCCAATTTCCTTCCTAAAGAGGACAATTTCTACTTTTATCAATGTCTTTCCTAAACTATGATGCCCAAAAGTGAACACAATGTTCCAAGTGTGGTTTGACCATGTCAAAATACAGAGGAATCTCTTTATTATGAGAAGCTATGCCTCTTCTAATGCAAACAAGTTTCTTGGTTGCCAAGTCACATTGCTGGCTCATACTGAAACTAAAACTACTAAAACACTAAAAACGAAAAAACTTGTTCTGACAAACTACTATTTAACTATTCCACTGGTATCTTATATTTAGGCCAATTTTTTTGAACCAAAGGGTAAAAATTTTGTAATTCCTATATCATTTTACTTTTATAAATTCAGCTCAATATTCCTGCTTTGCAAGATATTGTGAATTCTGACACTCGCATTCATCACGTTAGCTATGCTTCCTAGTTTTGTTTCATCTGAAAATTTAACAAGCAAGCTATGTATGCCTTTTTGAAGTCAGTGATAAATATTTTAAATGAAGTGGGCCAAGTACAAATCCCTGGAGTGCTCATTACATTGAAGACTTCCTTCCAAGCTGACAGGGAACCAACACTGACAACCGCTTCTTGGGCTCTGGCAATTCAACTACTCTAATTCCGAATCCAGCTAATTGTATTATAACCTAATCCACATCTCTCCATTCTTTCCACAAAAATAACATGAGACAAGTTATCAACAATGCTTTGCTAAAATCTGGGGAAATTCTATGGCACTTTCCTAACCTACCATTCTAATAACCCTATCAAAAGAGTTAATAATGTTAATTTCATATTCTTATTAAAATTACATTGGATCTTTCTGACCATCACTTCCCTTTCTACATGTTCACTATCTCTTTAATAATTAGTTCTGGAATTTTTCCATTAATAGGAATCAAGCTCATTAGCCCAATTTTCAGACTCTATTCTCTTCCTATTTGTGAAAATAAGGAAAATATTTGCCCTTTTCCAATCTTGTAGTACATCTCCTGTTCTCCACAATCTTTTGAAAATGAACGTCAGTGATTCAGCAATCACACCCGCCAGTTCCTTCAGTAAATGGAAAATGAACATGACCAAAATGGAAGTGGTTATCTTCAAAACCACCACTTTTGTTGAAGCCAACACTATCTCCCCACTGATCCAGATTCAGAACTTCAGTCAATCTTGACTATTTCCTTGACCTCATGCCCATTTAGTTTCTTCCACCTCCAAAATATTTCTCGTACTTATGCTCTCCTCTCTACTCACATAGCCAGCAGACTATTTCAGGCCTTTGTCATCTAACACCTGGACTCCTGTAATAGCCTACCTGCTTCCAATCTCACCTTTCCATTCTACCCAACACAGCTGTCAAAATAATATTCCTACAATACATATTTTAACAGGTCATTCCTCTGCTCAAATATCCTCAGTAATGCCCTGTTGTTTGTAGGATAAAATACAAACTTCTCACCTCAGCATTTAAGGTCTCATGCACTCTCTGGCTGCTATCTAGTTTTCTTCTTTAATAATAAATCCCCTTTGCAAACTCTCCATTCTAGCCAAACTGGAAAACAGGAACTAGTAAACTTTTCCTCAAAGCTTATTTCCTGCTTCGAGTCATTGGTAAAACTCATTCCAGGTGCCTGAAATCCACCTGCTTTTCATTATTGCCTCTCAGGTTCCATTTCCTCTGTGAAGACTTTCTAATAGTCCCAAGTCGTACTCGTTCATCCGCCTTAAAATTATTTGTATTATGTTTTGCGGACAATATGGCAGAAATTATTTTTGTCCTTGTATCCTAACTACCTGGCAAAATGTCTTGTACACAGTTATAACTTAATGTTTCTTGATTTGGAAGTTGAATACAAAGTCTTTGGAAGAAAGGCTTAGCACCTTCAAATGGAGTTTAGCAGATGCAAACCAAGTCTTTTATTTTCTAAAAAAAAAAAAAAAAAAACCCCACCAAAACTCTCACACCATCCATTCAAATAATTGAATGTTAGACTATCTATGCAGGGAAAATGTTTAAATTCTTGAATGCCTGTAAAATTCTTGAGTAGTAATATGGTAGAAACCATACTGCTCTTGGGAGTCATACTCCAATGACAGTCCCAACTTTGCCATTTGTATTACTAGCTGTGACTTAGGTCATACTTAACCTGTCTAGTCCCAATTTCCTCACCTGGAAAATAAGGACGTGGGACTAGATTATCTCTAACAATTGCCCTTCCAGCTCTAATATTTCAAAAGCACCTTTTATCCTTGCTTTTTGAACAAGAAGTTTTATGGACAAAGCAGAAAGCACCAAACTTAGGAATCAGGAAAACCTGAGTTCAAATCCTGCCTCAAACACTTCCTAGCTGGGTGACCCTGAGTAAGCCACTAAATCTCTTAGTCTGTTTCTTCACCGGTAAAATAGGGATAATATCAGCTCCTATCTCACAGGGTTGAGGATCAAATCAGACAAAACATATTAAGGATTTTGCAAACCTTAAAGCAATATATAAAGGCTATTATTTAGTACTATTATTATTAACAGCCTTCGAATCCACCTCTGCCACTGTTACTTTCTGTCTGCATCTCAGTTTTCCCATCTGCAAAATAAGGACACTGGACTAGAGATGCCTTTTGGCACTAAAATAATCCTCTATACACGTAGATATGTAAGAGGGTAAGTTTCCAATAAATCAAATGAAAGATAAAGAGCATAATTTACTTATTTCTTTTATAAGTTCCAATAACTAGCACATAGACATAGATATCTTTAAATTGATCTTCACAACAACCTTGTGAGGTATTATTATGCCTATTTTACAGATAAGGAAACTGAGGCAAACAGGTTCCGTGACCTGCAGAGGGTCACACAGCTAATAAGCATCTCTGGCAGGATTTCAACCCAGGTCTTTCGGACTCCAAGTTCAGCGCTCCATATATACTGCCACCTAGGTACTATAAAAGTAAAGGTGCTGCTGGAGCAAAGAGCCGATGTACACCCCATTTATCGGGAGAACGCTTCAATTAGGGCTTGGTGTGTTGTTTTGTTGATTGTCTGAACTTAAAAAACAGAGAAAATGGTAATGGTGCAGATTAGAATTAAAAGTGTATGGTGAATGGGGGGGAGGGTGGCCCACTGATAAAACATTTACTGGCGCACCACTTTATCGAGGATACAAAGCGACGAAGCCAAGGTTAAAATTAAAAACAAAAAGTGAAAACGGCAATGCACACTTAGGAGTCCCTCTGGGGTCTGCAAAACACTTTGCTCACAAACGCACCATCGCCCCCATTTGGCGACAGTTTCTGGGCCGTTTAAAGGGATCGCTGGGCTGGCGGGGCAGCACACGCCCACCCCCGGTCCTCTGCGGCCGGCGCGCCTGGACCCGAAGAGCCGGGGCGCACCCGGGGGGCCGCTCGCACACTTACACCCAGCAGCGGCCCGCGGCCGATCACCGTCTCCCCGGGCGGCAAGGCCACCCGCGGGCCGCCAAGCGCCGGCGCGAGCTCGAATCCCCCGGCCATGACGAGAGCAGCTTCGGCCGGAGCCCGGCCTCGCACCGCGGAGCCTCACCGGCCCGGGGACCGAGGGACGCGGAAAAAGCTGCTTCTGCCTTCCCGGGGTACTCCCGAGCTCGGCGGAAACCAAGAGGCCCAGACACGGGACACCGCCTCCTGGCCCCGCCCCGTGACGCGCGGGGATTCCCCTCATAAACCATTCCGAAGGTTTGAAAGCCCCCTACGTGTCCCTCCCCATCGCGGCTTCCCAGCGGCTCTGGTTCTTGTAGTCTTTAGCCCTCCTGCCTTCCCTTCACAGTTTCGTCTAATCCGGACTCTATAAACTACCCTTCGCAGCAGGCGCTGTGCGGCTCGCTTTTGCGCCTGCGCAGGAAGGAGCAGTTTGCTGACGAAGTGGGCGGGGCGTAGAGCCAGCTGGAACCATGGGGTTGGATTCGAATTCCGGAGAATTTAAACGGCCTTTAGAGTTGTAGGGAGTGGGGCGTGTAACGGCCGCCCAAGCCCCAGCAGGTAGGGGACCCGGACTTCCCGGCAGCCCACGCGCCCCCCATTGCCGGCAAATACAGGGAGCCTGACGCGCGGTTACCAACCTTCAGTGACAGTTGGTGGGGACCGTTGTTGTTTTTGTCATTGTCAAACTACCCAGTTATAAGGAGGCTGGGGGGGGGGGACCGAGGAGCAGGCGTGTGTGTCCCCACTCCTCAAGCCTGAGGGTGGGACGCTTCCCAGGGCTCGTGCCCTCTCCCTCCTGGGGCTGTCACCCCCAGCCCAGGACTGCACCCACTGCTGGGAGGTAACTTTATCGTGTTTGTGTTTTCATTGTGGCATCTTAAAGCTTACAAAGTGCTTTGTCTCACAACTCTGTGAAGTAGGTAGTGCAGGTATTATACCTGTCTTACAGGTGAGGAGCTCAAAAGAAACTCAGAGCAGTTCAAGTGGATTTCCAATACCTAGGAGAGGACAGACCTAGGACACTTAGTAGCTTTCAGTGACAAGGGAAATTTGTCAAAGTTCCCTTTGCAATCTTAAAAAAAAAAGTATATGGAGAAATCAGAGGTTGCTGGGGATCATTTTTTTAATTAATATATTAGCATTTATTAAGCGCCTACTATCTGCCAAGCACGGGGATGCAAAGAATGGCAAAAGACAAGTCCCTGCTCTCCAAGAGCTCACAGTCCAATGGGAGAGAAAACGTGAAAACAACATATGTACAAACCAAGATATACGCAGAGTAAACAGGAGGTAGTATCAGAGGGAAGGCGCTAGAGGACTGGGAACTGCTTCTTGCAGAAGGTGAAGCTTTAGCTGAGACCTGAAGGAATTCGGCGAAGCCAATAGAGGAGATGGGGAGAGAAATCGGTCCAGGAATAGGAGTGTCTTGTGGGAGGATCAACAACTGGTTTTAGAAGTCATGCCTTAGGAACTTAGTGAAGGTATCCTCACCTTCCTGCTGCTAGTAGATGTCTGAAAGACCTACAAGTCTTTCCATAATTAGAGGTGGAAGAATGTAAAGGCTTAAATGGTTTAAAATGTAAGCAAATGCCCTCTTGGAGTGGTAAGCCTGACTTAAAAACTCGAAGTTTTAGGATTTTGGGACTCTGAAAGAAGGTTTTTATAGAGAAGAGACAGTTACAGGACATTTGAGGGTCCCTGGTACTAAAAGGTAAACCTTCACAATTTTGCCCTGAGGACCACATTCAGATAAAGAAGGATTCTATTTTATTTTCACCATCATAACCTCAGCTCAAGATTGACTCAAAAGAAGGAAATTATTTAACTATTAGAGTACAAAAATAAACAAATAGAATGGTAGGAACTGTAGTTTGGGGAAAGCCCAACACAGAAACCTAGTTCAGAAGAGCAATATTTTGGAGGAAGAGAGTAATTTGTTACCAACAAAACATTTAAATAGACATTTAAAAGAGACCATGTATAAAACCATGTATTTTAAGTTATTTACAATTTTTTATGTTTATGTTACTGATACTCAAATGGATCTAAGTTCTTATCAATTTGTGAGTTCCCTCCAGTGATACCTATCAAACACTATTCATGCCTGCCCATTTTGAGCAAATCTTTTTTCATGTCCTCTCATAATTTCACCATAGGGGGTTCATACAATGTTGATAGAGGCCACCTTAATTTCTCCTAACATTGTGTACCAGTAGAACACTCTGGATGTCCACCTGTCAGAAACCATAACATTTACATTAGCAAAATAACAAAAAATCTTGTTTGTTTTTCTGTCAGCTTCTTGTCTCCTTCTGGGTGTTTTCCAGATTTTGTTATTATTTTCATTTTTAAAACAGCAAATCTAGGAAGTGATCTCATGCTTACTTTTTTAAAACTTTTCATCCTAATGATAGTTTTTAAAAGAACATGGAGACCTTTGTAATATAGATGAAAAACTAAATATATTAAACATAAGTAGTATTTTAAACATATTTATGTATAAAAATAGGGCACTTCAAATTGGTATCTGTCATTGAGTTGGTCTATAGGGGAGGGGGATATAAAGAGCTCTATCTTTCATCCCTGTTCTTGCCTTGTCCCCCTAGGGATCACAGTCAGCTAAGATTTCAGGTAAGTATAGGTATACTACAATGAAAATGATAGGTACATATGGAAACTAATCTTTGACATCATTAGCTCAATAGTCTAACATAGTTATTTGTGGGGGGAAAATAGTCATATAACTCAGTGTTTCTTCCTATCTTTGCAATTAAAGGTGCTGGCTGGATGGCTCCAGGAATTATTTCCAAAGCACAAATTATACCACTAAACTGTGTAGTTTAGACTTCATGCTTTTATTACTTTAATCTTAACTCCTTAGCAATTTCAGATGGTTTTAGACAGCCAGAGTGCGGGGCCTGGAGTCAGGAAGAAGTCAGTTCAAATGCAATCTCAGATTCTTACAAGCTATGTGACCCTCCACAGGTCATTTTACTAATATCAGGCTCAGTTTCCTCATCTATAAAATGGGGATAGTAGATAATAGCACTTATCTCCCAGGGTTGTTGTGAGGATCAAATGAGATTATAATTGTAAAGCACTTTACGATGCCTGGCACATTAATAAGTGCTGCATATAAATTTTATTTATTATATGTTTATATTTTGTTTATATTGATATATTTATATTTTATTTATAATAATATTTATTATTATTGTTATTGTTACTGTAGTGCCAAAATGAACTATTAGTAGTAGTTACATTTTGAGTTTTTCTCCCAACAGTCCTGTAAGTTAGTATAAGAATTATTATCTCCATTTTGGAGGTGAGGAAACTAAGGTTCAGAGTTTATGAATAAAATAACACAAATCACAAAAGGAGTAAGTTGAAGAGTGACTCCAAGTCCAGTGTTCTTTCTACTACTGTGAATGCTTTTAGAAACTATATAGCTAAAAAGAAAAACACCAAAAAACAAAACAAGCTAACTTTTTTTTTTTGCACAAACTACCTAGTAGGCCTGTTCACAAATTGACAACTAAGAGATTAATGGCATAGTATTTTTAGTCATGGTCAGTTCTGGTAGACATCAAGTATCCTAATTTTATAAGAGTTTAAGGAATTGATTTTCACATATTTAGTAACACATGAGCAACAAGCCGGGGTTAAAACATTATAAACTAAAACATAGATTCTGCCTTTTGGAAGAACATTCTTACATCATTTCAGATTAGTGTAATACATGAGAAAAAGAGTTGGACTTGAAGTCAGTGGATTTAAAGCCACTCCACCACTTAATAGCTATGTAGCTTTGGACAAGTCATTCGATTTCTGTGAACTCTTGTCTCATCCATAAAATGGAGATAATAATTTTTACACTAACTACCTTGAAAGGTCCCCATGAGGCTCAAATGCTTAACATTTGCTATTCCTACACTTTTACAGATATGGGGGGATAGCTTCTTTAAGGAAAAGTGATTCTTGAATAGAATAAAATGATAAAGTATAAGTAGAATCTGTAGTGTGTTCTGAGGAAAGAAAAAGAATGTGTTATACTGTGTTTTAGGTCACATATGAAACAGATTTACCAAAACATCAAATTATGCAGAAAATCTCCAAGAGAAATAGTAATTCACCTACTGCTGGTAAAGAACTGAACTCTGTTTGTCCTGATAAGAAGAAGAAAGAAAATAAAGACAATTTTGTTGAAATATTACCTCCAGAAGTCACTTTTAAAATTTTTAGCCAACTCGACATTCAGAGTTTATGCCGGGCTGCAACAACATGTAAGAGTTGGAATCAAGAAATCAAGAATTGTGACTACTTATGGAAACACCACTGTTTGACTGTCAGAGCTATATGTCAAAAAGAAATAGATGGCGATCGAGGAAATGGATATTCATGGAGGGTGAGTTTAAACATTGAAAATGACTGTGTTATAAGCAGTGCCTATACCTACAACAACAACAAAAAAAAAAAGGTAACATCCTAAAAATTCGCTAATTCCACATATTTATACATTGTAAAACTCAAAACCACTTCCTACTACTTATCCATCATAATCTCTAATAAACTATCCTTATATCAATATCCTTATAACACCATGTATGTATCCATATGTGTGATACATATGCCAACATAGTCATAGAGAGTTTGAGGGAAGCCTTAACCCTCGGAGTTACGACATTTCAGAGTTGGAAAGGGCCTTGACAGCCATCTGTTTCAACCAGTACCTGAAAAAAGAATCCCCTCTGCAGCCATGACAACCAAAGAATTGCCTGGCCTTTGCTACAAGGCCTCTAGTGAGGGAGAACACACTGCTTTCTCCAGAAGCATACCATTGTATTTGTGATATAGCCTTCATGTCCTTTCCAGCTCTAGATCCAGGATCCAATGAAGAGTTTTTAAGCTTTTCTTTACATCAAGCCTGAATTTGCTTCTTTGTTCCTTTTATCCATTGTTCTAATTCTGCCTTTTGGGACCATCCAAAACAACTCCTCTTCCATATGATAGCCCTTCAAATGCTTGAAGACAACTAACATATTCCCTTTAACACTCCTCTAAACTAAGCAGACTCATTTCCCTCATTTCCTTCAACCATCCTCATATGGCATGAATCTGAGGCCTTTCACTATCATGGTTACTCTGCTATGGACACTTCAGTTTCTCAAACTGTGGTGCCCCAAACTTACCAAGACAGAGTGTAAGTGCCTTTCTTAGTATGTGTAGGAACACATTATTTTTTAATGCTACATGTCAAAAAGAGATAGAGTGGTCAAGGAAATGGATATTCATGAAGGGTGAGTTTTTATTCTGAACTTAACAAACATTGAATAAAATAGGCATTTCCATATTTGCATATATATATAAGAACAGAATAAAAGGATTTTACACAAAATTGCAAATCTCCATTAATTGCAAATTGCTTTTCTTTTTAAGTGTATAAGTTTAATCTATAGCTTTCAAAGGTATACTGCTTGTCTTTGCTTCTTTCTGCTCTTCCTTCTTTTCCCTGCGTTTTTTTAAAAGATATCTCATCGACTCTCATGTCTTTTGTCCTATCCCTATTCCATCTCAACCTCCCCACCCCCTTGGAAAAAAAAGAAAAAGAGAAGGTCCTTGTAACAAATAGCAGAGTCAAGCAAAACAAATTCCTATATTAGTGTGTCTGAAAATTTATGTCCTATACTGCATCTTAAATCTCTCATTTTTCTTTCAAGAGATGAATAGCATATTTCATCATCACTGCTCTTCATTGATCAGAGACTCGACTGATAGGAAACAACACTTCCAACAGGGAGCAGCAGCAGGAGACACACAAAAGAGAAAATACAATTATAAAGACACAGAAAGAGAGCCACTGGAGGGAAAAGTATAACCCTTCATGATAGAATGCCTGTTATGGACTCTAGAAAGGCACTAAGCCTCCGAATCCAGCAAAGAGCTACACCAAAGGGGAACGTCATGAGAATGCCACAGAGGGAGAAAAGGATTCCCAACAACTAGGATTTGTGAAGTACCCCTTTGCCACATGGTTCCCTAAATGTATCTCACTACTTTTGTACTTTATACTTGAGCCAACCTTCCCCAGCAATTTTATGTGTACAAAGGGAGAGTACACTCTCTTTTCTTGGGGGGGATATCTTTGGGAGAATACACTCTCTTTTCTTGGGGGGATAGGTTTTGTTCCAACTATTTTTACTATATCATCTTAATAAATACCTTTAAAAGCCAATTAAGGTGCTAGTGGTTATCAATTGAAAGTGTACCAGTAGAGGTACATGACTGACAATATTAGAAACTCCAGCTTCTCAGGGCAGATTGTGAGTAGAAGTAGTCAACAGATCCTCTGGGACACTCAACCCCTGAATGAGAGTGCAAGTTGAGGGAGTTGCCCCAGAACATGGGCTGCCCCAAAAGAAAGTAAGGTTAGGCTAATGTGAGTTATTATTCTTCATGAAACTGTGCTAGCTCTTTGTGAGAAATACTTCCTTTTCTTTATGTTCAGTAAACATCCCTTAATAATACATACTAGAATTTTGCTAGAAATCAAACTCGTATACACTGACCTAGTTTGCAGACTCCATTATCTTCAAATGCCCTTTTAAAAACTTTGATGTATTCCCCTTTTCCAGCTAATCCACCATTTTAAACAACACCCAACTTCTCCATGAAAATTTGTTTTGCCCTTGAGAATGGAGGTGACTACTTCTTTTAACCATACTCTGCCCAAGCAACCCTTCTGTTCTTTCTCTGCCCTTATGAATGCACTTTGTAAAATATAAAGTTATTCCTATATTTTACATTTAATATTCTATTGTATATATTCATGTATGTTATATTTTTAGTTTATTATATATATTACTGTATGCCTTCATCCCTTTCCTGAATACCCAGAAAACAAAATATCAACCTGTTTTTAAATGATAATGGCTTACCTTTTTCAGGTAACACTATTGAGGAACTACTGGAAGAGTAAGGTAAAGCATGAATGGCTAAGTGGCAGATACAGCAACATTTGCTCTCCTGTTAGCCTGCCAGAAAAAAATATGTGCCCTATGGATGCAGAAACCTGGGGGGAAATTCTAGAAGCAGAACTTGAAAGATAAACTGAAAAATCCAGAAGAGGTCTCAACTTTCAAGAGTTGAAAGCAAACATTATTATGGTGCAAATACTCTGTACCTTTATTTACTCGCTGTTCATTTGTTTTATTTGTGAACTTTTAAAAGAATATTATATGAAATATAAATCTTTATTTTGCACTTTACTCCTTCCCACCAAAATTTTTATTTGATATTTTTATTGTAAGAATGAGAATTCCAGTGATGCTATTTCTAAAAGACATACTAAACTGCTGAATTGGTTTCGAGATTTGTGTAATATTGGTTTTTATAAAATGCTATATATTATTGTGAAGTAATAGGAATAGGAAAAAGTAGTAGAGTTTGAAGAAGTTGTTTCTAGTATTTTAAATGAAAAGTTCAGTATCTTCAGGAATAGAATTTGTTCAAAACAGAGTACTCTTAAATTGTGTTCTATGATATGCCAAAAAAAAAAAAAAAGAGAGAGAGAGAGAGAGAGAGATTTAAAGAGCTAACAACTATTTGGGAAAATGTCCCTAACATAAGCAAACTTTTCCTTCTCTAACTAGATATGTTTAGATGTTATAACAGCAAATAAATCTGACCAAATAAAGAAAGGATATTAAAGCACTTGGAAGTGTCACACAGCCATAAGGTATTTTAATTATCACGTATTTGTACCTTGAATGTGTTTGTGCCTACATGTGAAATTTTTTTTCCAGTTTTTTTAGACTTTTTTACTTATGTATGCTGGTTTACATTGTATCCTTTATTATATACACTTTCTTTCTTTGTTTTTCATTCCTTCTATTTCAATATTTTTGTAGTATAACTGTCTCATTTTACATATGAGGAAACTGAGGTCCAGAGAGGTGAGTGACTTGACCAAGGTTTGACAGGTAATAAAAGTCAAGGTTGAGATTCCAAAGGAAAGTCAAGAGGGAAAGTGTACGTTAAGAAGATGATTCTTCTTTCCTGACTCCACTCCTGATTCTGGGTTTTTCCAATTTCTCTTCTCTCCCTCCACTTATTAGAATCTAAGTTTCTACAGGGTAAGAACTACCTTTTCCCCCTTGTATTTGTATTTCTAGCACTTATCACAGTGCCTGATGCTTACTAAGTGTTTAATTACCTATCTATAAATCTTTAGTAGGCAGCATAAGTAGCACAATAGATAGAATACTGAACCAGGTATTAGGAGGACCTGAGTTCAAATGCAGCCTCAGAAACTTACTAGCTATGTGACCCTTGGTATGTCACTTAACCGCTACTTCAGTTTCCTCAACTATAAAATGTGGATAGTAATAGCACCTACCTCCCAGGGTTGTTGTGAGGATCAAAGTAAATAATATTTCTAAAATGCTCAGCATAATGCCTGGTTTGTAACAAACCTAATATAAATTGTTATAACAGCAAGATTGGTAAGAAAAAAATTTTTTAAAAAAACCAGATCTCAGTAATGTTTAATATGCACTGTATTGAACATCAAGCAGGTAATTCAATCACCATCTGTCAGACATAAATAGCACTTTGGGGTTTGCAGTATTTTCCTATCCACCCATTCATCCATTCTCTCATGTTATCCTCACAAGAGTCCCATGGCTATATAGGCAAATTGTACAGATAAGGGAGCATGTTACAAGCTAAAGAAACTTGTCCAAAGTTCAAGCAGCAAATTAGTGTATCGAGCTTGGATTTTGAAATGTGGTATTCTCCTTGCTCTATGTTTAGCATGGTCGTGTCAAACTCAAATTGAAGGGAGTCACTTATCTGTACAAAAGGATCCCTGCAAGCCACATATTGACTTGGTTTTAAAATGTAAAATGTATGTTTTATTGCATTTTAGCTTGTTAAACATTTCCCAATTATATTTTAATCTGGATCAGGCAGTACTCAGGTGTATTATGGGTAACCATTTCTTTTCTATCTTTTGGGTCCCTTACAGAATCATAGACTCACAGAAATTGAAGGTTGGAAGGGACCTCCACAGTCATCTCCTGTAACTCAAAACCAAAAGGATGGCTGCTATAATATACCTGGCATCTGATCGTTCAGCCTCCGAGAAGGAGGAACCCACAAACCATCCCTTGTGAGTTAGCCCATTCTACGTTTGAATAGCTCTAAGTGTTTAGAAGTTTTTCTTGCTATCAAGTATAAATTTATCTCCTTACAATCACTACCCATTGCTCCTGGTTCTGTCTTCTTGATACAAACAATCTAATTAGATGGCAGCTAGTTGGGACAGTAAGATAGAGCATTGGACTTGGGTTTAGGAAGTTCTAAATTCAAATCCCACTCCAGGCACTTACTGTGTTACCCTGGTCAGGTCCCTTAACATCTCTGTGCCTCAGTTTTCTTGTAAAATGAGGATAATAATACCTGCCTTCCAGTGTTACAGTGAAGATAAAATGAGATAATATTCATAAAGCACTTTGCAAACCTTATTGCACTATATAAATGCTACTTGTTATTATTTTATTAATAGTTCCTCTTATACATAATAGTCCTTCAAATACTTGAACACATCTATTTTATCTCCCCTAACTCTTCTCCAAGCTAAACATCCACAGTTCCTTCAACCAGTCCCCATGTGACATGGACTGAAGGCCCTTCATCATTCTGGTTGCTGTTCACTGGATACTCTCTAGCAGTGACTGATACAGAGACAGAAGGGAGGCACATCCACTTGAATCAATGCTTATTGAATTTCCTTTTGACCATTAGGTAAACTTCTTTTTATCATATGACCCACAACACATCCCAATCCTGAGCCTGATCCCACTGTATTAACCTGATTTAGAACCAGCTCAGACCATTTGTACTGAAATTTATTGCTACAAAATGTTTTCACACCCTTTCTCTCATCTGATAAACCTTAAAAAGTTTGAGTGAGGAATAAATCAGCATCTGAAAACTGAGTAGTTATTTCCATTTGATTTAGTACATGTTCTTTGAGCACCTACTCTGTATAAGGCACTGTCATTACTGGTATACATAAGGATGAATAAGATCTAAACAGTCTCTGCCCTCAGTGAGCTTACCATTTCCTTACACATATCCCATCCTGTGGTGGACAATTTGTACTAAACTGCCTGCATCATATGATTGCTGACCTCTATTATAATTTCTAATAAAACATTACTCTGTAGGCTTATACCACCAACATATGTATATATGTAAATACACACATTAAAAACAAAACACGTAGAGTTTTATATTTTATCCCCTTTTGTTTTCAGTCTTTCACAACTAACTAATCTCCTTTCTATTCTTTTCAGCATTTCCTAAAATACCATCTTTTATGTAAAATTTTCTTTTACTAGTCTGAAAGGGAGTGACTACCTCCTTTAACTATTTTTATCCAAGTGTTAAACTCCAAGCTGGCCAACTGTTGATTTGTTTTTCCCTTGCAATGTACTTAATAAAAACAATAATAGAGTTTATATTGCACTTTAAGATTTACAAAGCATTTCGTATATAATATCACTTTATCCTCATAACAGCTCTATGAGGTAGGTGCTATTATCCCCATTTTGCAGATGAAGAAATTGAGACCGAGAGAGGTTGTGAGCTGCCCAGGGTCACACAACTAGTAAGTATCTGAGGTAGAATTTGAACTCACATCTTCCTGATTCCAATCCAAGACTCTATTCACTGGTCTGCCATTTATTACACAATATGTTTATATATTTTAGTGTTTCTTTTGTAATATAAGATGGAATTAATCATGTATATATATATATATTATATATATATATAAATGCACACATATATATTGTAGTGTTTCACATTCAAGATTATGTATATTTGCTATATGATCCTCAGTCATTAAGGTCTCATTTCTGAATAGGCTGCAAACAAAATATTGACAAATGCTTTTTCATCACTGGATCTACTGGAAAAATCAAGCGAATACTGAATTGAGTGCAGATTAATAGGAATATTTTTCTCCTTTTAGAATGCCAGAAAACAAGTATGTAAATACACAGATTCTAAAAGATGAACTTGAAAAAACTGAAAAATCACAAAAAGGCCTTCTTTGTGTAAAATTAGGGAATTGGATCAGATAGCCTCTAATTAGAAGGTCCCTTCCAGCTCTGGATCTGATACTATGAACTAAAATTAATAACTTTCAAAAGTTAACAAAGCAAACAGACTCTTAAGGTATAAATGCTATACCATTATTCATTTGCGATTCATCTATTTGGAAGCACTTAGAGGAACACATTTTAAAGAACATTTTAAGACATGTAAAGCTTCATTTTTACTGTGCACTTGAATTCCCCCCTACCCCACTTTGAAGTTTTTGTTGCAGAGTGAAAATTCCAGTAATGTTATTTAAAATCCTATAATGATGAAATGGTTTCAGGATTTGTATTACATTGGTTGGTTTTGATTTATATATTTGTTTGTTTATTCATTTATGTATCTGTTTATTTGGAGGCTAGGCCTCTCTATCTCACCCAGGCTGGAAATATCGCAGCCACTCATGGGCCCAATCACACTACTGATCAGAGGGGAGGTTTGACTTGATCTCTTTCCTGCTTGTGCTGATTTGCCCTTCTTTAGGCAGCCTGATGCCTCCTTATGTTCGATATTTACCATATTGGTACCAGACTTAGTGTGGGCAGGACATCAAATGGTTTCTAGCCCTACTGAAGCTCAGAATTCCTGAGAGTTAGAGATCTAACCAGCCTCAGCTTTCCTCAGCAGTAGGGATTGCAAGTACACACCGCCTCGCCTGCCTATGTTTTGGTTTGGGGTTTGTTTTGTTTTTTAGTATCATGAATTACTGTGAATTAATAGGAGAAAAGAAGGGAGTTTGAATTCATTGGAACTCAAAGCATTTTAAAATTGAAATTCAGTGAAACTGGTCAATGATCATTCAGCATTTCTATGTTCTTCAAAATTCTGTTTAAGAAACAAACCTGTTGGTTTAAAAGAATTCTCACTAAGATTGAAACTTGGCAGAATCATATTTGCAGCACATTGGAATCTGCATTACCTCAATAGCTTAAAATAAACCTGGAGATTTTTGAGAACCTTAGGCCGCAATCACAAATGTAACAGTGTTTATTCTGTCAAATTTACTCCCTGAACAGAGACCTCAGAGCACCATCTAGTGGATTAATGTCAAATAACAAGAGTGATTTTAAGGAGCCGGGAAGTGTTTTCACCAGCTGCTACACTTCAGCCAGTCTGTGACATCACTAATATGGTCACTCCCTCCAGTAATGGAACTGGTGATTTATTAGTACTTGCTCCTGTGACTCCTGGCTGCATGTTCTGCAAATTCCCCACAGGGGATCTACCTCCTGGGCTTTCTTCTCAATTGCATCCTTCAATCAACTGTGTTCTTGTAAAGATGTGATTTGCTGGAGAATATTATTTATAAAAACTTCTCAGTTCACATCCTTCAGTCAACTGAATTATTGTAAAGATATGATCTGCTGGAGAATATCGTTTATTAAAAACCTCCCTGTTCTCAAACCCTCATCAAAGATCAATCAATGCATGTATGTGTAAACCACTCATAAAATTTTGATAGATAGGAAAGTAACTATGTGAAAAAGTAGGTATAGATATTCTCTTAATTGTCTTGGATGAGTGGGTGGTGAATAAAGTCTGTAATTTTTCCCATGCTTTTGGTATCTTTCCCTTTTTCAGATATCTTGAAAACTGATCCCTCAATGCCCTTGAAATTGTGTTTCCTCCAGCACCAACTTCCTCTGCATATATTTGGTTTAGTCCATTTGCTATTTATTGATTTTTTTCCAATGACATTTCTACTTTCTCAAGAAACATACTGAGTATTTTGACATTAAGAATATAAATGTGGGGGCGGAGCCAAGATGGCAGAGTAAAAGCAGTGACTTGCTTAAGCTCTCCCCCAAACCCCTGCAAATACCTATAAAAAATGGCTCTAAACAAATTCTAAAGCAGCAGAACCCACAAAAAGACAGAATGAAACAAATGTCCAGTCCAAGACAGCCTGAATGGTTGATCACCAGGCTAGGAGAGGAGCGCAGTTTGGCGTGGGCGTGCAGGCAGCAGTGACCCTGGAGCAGGCTTCAGAAGATTGAATCACGGGGAGCTGTGGCAGTTTCCAGACTTCTCAACCCAGGAACGCCAAAGATGACTTAGAAGGTCAGTGGGAAAAGTCTGTGACTGCAGTGAGAGAAGGAGCTAGGTCCCAGCCACAAGTCCCCAGCATGCCCTCAGGGCAGCGGCCCTCCTGAGCTCCCTGCCCACAGACGGGGAATCGAGTGACTGATCAGAAGGGGATTGCAGGAAACTCTGCTGGTGCAGGATTCTCTTGCTTTGCCCATGCTTGGATCTAGGTCACAGTTCTGGGTGGTGGACCTAGGGTGAGGAGGAGTGCTGGTCTGGTGGAGCTTATAGTGGCTGTGGAGAGAAAACCCTCCTCACAGTTCCAAGACAGAAAAGAGTGCTCGTAGACCAGAGCACAGGCCAGGAAAGGAGTAAACACCTCGCCCTTGATCATACCACCTTGGAAGAACTGAAAAGTTACAGGTCCCAGGAAGTATTTCTGAACACAGCTGCACAAAACCCCTGAAGCTTGGGACAGTACGTTCTCCACATTGGAAACAGATTTCTACCTTAACAAAGAGTTTATAACTCAAGTAATTGGCCGGGATCATGAGCAAGCAGCGCAAAAAGAGTCAAGACTATATTATCTTACTTTGATGACAAAGAAGATCAAAACATATAACCAGAAGAAGACAACGAAGCCAAAGATCCTACATCCAAAGCCTCCAAGAAAAATATGAATTGGTCCCAGGCCATAGAAGAGCTCAAAAAGGATTTTGAGAAGCAAGTAAGAGAAGCAGAGAAAAAAACTGAGAGTGATGTTAAAGGAGGCCCAAAAAAATACTGAAGAAAATAACACCTTAAAAAATAGCCTAACCCAAATGGCAAAAGAGGTCCAAAAAGCCAATGAGGAAAAGAATGCCCTTGAAAGCAAATTTAGCCAGATGTAAAAGGAAGTCCAAAAGCTTACTGAAGAAAATACTTCCTTAAAAATTAGAATGGAGAAATTGGAAGAGAGGGACAATTTGAGAAACCAAGTCACTGTAACACTAATCAAAAGGAATGAAAAAATAGAAGAGAATGTGAAAAATCTCATTGGAAAAACAACTAACCTGGAAAATAGATCCAGGAGAGAGAACTTAAAAATTATTGGACTATCTGAAAGTCATGATCAAAAAAAGAGCCTAGACATCATCTGTCAAGAAATTATCAAGGAAAACTGCCCTGATATTTTAGAACCAGAGGGCAAAATAGAAATTGAAAGAATACACCGATCACCTCCTCAAAGAGATCCCCAAAGGAAAACTCCTAGGAATGTTGTAGCCAAATTCCAGAATTCCCAGGTCAAGGAGAAGATATTGCAAGCAGCCAGAAGGAAACAATTCAAGTATTGTGGAAACACAATCAGGATAACACAAGATTTAGCAGCTTCTACATTAAGGGTCCGGAGGGCATGGAGTATGATATTCCGGAGGGCAAAGGAATTAGGACTACAACCTAGAATCACCTACCCAGCAAAACTGAGTATAATCCTTCAGGGTAAAAATTGGTCATTCAATGAAATAGAGGACTTTCAAGTATTGCTAAATGCTTGAAATTCAGACCAGAGCTGAATAGAAAATTTGACCTTCAAATACAAGACTCAAGTGAAAGATGGAAGAGGTAAACAGGAAAGAGAAATCATAAGAGACTTATTAGGGTTGAGCTGTTTACATTTCTGCAGGGAAGGATGATATTTGTAACTCGTGAGTCTTTTGTCAGTATTGGGGTAGTGGGAGGGAAAAAATTATATGTATGTATAGATAGATAGAGGACACAGGGTAAGTTGAGGATGAAGGGATATCTGGAAAATAGAGTTAAGGAGTGGGAGAGGATTATACTGGGAGAAGGAGAAAGGGAGAAGTGGAATGAGGTAAAATATCTCACATGAAACAGACAAGAAGGGACTTTTACATTGGAGGGGAGATGGGGGAAGGTGAGAGGGAATGAGTGAATCTTATTCTCATGGGATTTGGCTTAAGGAGGGAATAACATACACAATGGGGTATGGAAATCTATCTTACTCTGCAGGAAGGTGGGGGGGAAGGGACAAGAGAGCAGGGGGTTGATAGAGGGGAAGGCAGATTGAGGGAGGGGAGAATCAGAAGCAAACACTTCTGAGGAGGGACAGGGTCAAAACAGAGAATAGAATAAATGGGGGATAGGATGGGGTGAAGGGAAATATACTTAGTTTTTCACAACAGGACTATAACCTGTATTGAGATGCTTGCCTTTTCGGTGAGGGTGGGTGGGGAGGGAGTGAGGGAGAAAATTTGTAACCCAAAGTTTTAAAAACACTTGTTAAAAATAAAAAAAAAATTTAAAAACCCACAAAAAAAATAAAGAAAAAAAATAAAAAGAAAAAAAATATAAATGTGGCTCTCCCATTTAAAAAAATACAACTCTCTAATGCCTACAAAATCTGAATGTTTTTAAGGTATATTCTTCAAGGTTTATTAATTTAGCTGTCATTCTGTAGCTCAGTAAAGCAATTTATACTGGCCACTATTTATTGGGTATAGGGTACATCTATATAATCAATCTATAAACATCTATTAAGTACCTACTATGTGCCAGGCATTGTGCTAAGGGCTAGGGGTACAAAAACAGGCAAAAGACTGTCCCTGCCCTCAAGGAGCTTACATGGAGGAGACAACATGCAAACAAATATATACAAAGCAAGTTATATATAGGATAAATAGGAAATAACAGAAGACAGACACTAGAATGAGAGGAGTTAGGGAAGGTTTCCTGTAAAAGATGAGACTTTAGCTGGGACCTACAGGAAGCCAGAGAAGCCAAGAGGAGAATCTAAAGAAAAGTGTTCCAGACATGGAAACAGCCAGAGGAAATACCCAGAGTCAAGAGATGGAGTATCTTATTGGTGGATGGGACAGGTAGCCAATGTCACTAAACCAAAGAGTATAAGGCAAGGAGTAAAGTATGAAGAGACTGGAAAGTTAGAAGGGGCTAAATTAGATGGGCTTCAGATGCCAAAAAGAGCTTTTTGTATTTGATCCTGGGGGCCATAGGGAGTCACTAGAATATATTGAGGTAGGATGAAAAGGTAGCATGATCAGCCTTGAATTTTATGGTGTGATCCAGATACTGACCTCATTGATGAAGGAAGGGGAGTGACCTGGGAGTCTATAGACAACAGCTACCAGGATTTTAACTGACTAGCATGAAGCTCAAAGGAAGAGAAGTTATTATGTAAGAACCTTGAAGTCGCAGTGGGGAGCCAGGAGTATTCCAACTCCCCTGCCTTAACCAGTGAGCCTAGGGGAGTGAGTAAAGGTGCAACCAGGGAGCCGATGTTTTCAGGGGAAAGCCAAGTTTCAGTAAGATCTAGTAAAGTGTTATTATTGCTATGAAAATCTGCAGAAATGAAATAATAGATTTGAGGACCCAGTGAAGTGTTAAATGTATTAGAATGGCATAAAGTATTTTTATTAGTTAGTATTTATATCTTAATATGTTTGTGTCTAGGGAGGTATCATGGTAAATGGATAGAGGGATAAACCTGGAGCGAGAGACATGTGGGTGCAAGTCACACCTCTGAAATATATTGGCTATGTGGCACTGCGAAAGCCACTTAACTTTTTCCTGCTCTAGATATCAATTCCCTAGGACTGTACATTACAGAAGAACCACACTAGGTTCTAAGAGTTAAGGTTTTGCCTTATCTTGCCTGGAAGCAGGGTTTCGAGCCACTTCCCAGACATCTGTACATCACATGTCCGGGTCTCGCCTCTTGTCCCCTAGCTGTATAGTCATCCCCCATTAAAATGTAAACTCTTTGAGGGCAGGGATTGTATTGATTACTTATATATGCAGCCCCATCTCTTAACACGGTGTCTGAAGCACAAAAAATGCTTAAGAAAGGCTTCATCAAAGGGGCAGCTAGGTGGCACAGTGGGATAGAGCACCAGCCCTGGATTTAGGAGGACCTGAGTTCAAATCAGGCCCCAGACACATAACACTTACTAGCTGTGTGACCCTGGGCAAGTCACTTAACCCCATTGCTTAACCAAAAAAAAAAAAAAAAAAGGCTTCATCACCATTCCTTATCCCTATGTTTGGAATTAGGACTATATACCACGTGGGCAGATTATTTTTCCTTATTTCATTGGATTGTTTTCTAAAGTGCTTGCTGATTGATTTACATTGCATCTTTTTGTTTATACTATATTCTTTGTTTCTCTCTCATACTCGCACACACACATATACACCATTCTTGCTAATACCATCTTTTTTTTTTCTTAAATCTCTCTTGTCTCCTTATTCATGGACCTTTTTTCTATTGCTATTCTTATTACATTGACATACATATCTAAGATGTAGCTACATCCCTGGAAGGGACAGGCTATGTCTATAACTCAGCCAAAGAAGGGGCATTT